ATAATTTGGACCACACAGTAGCAGAGCTTTGCTTGACAATGTATTGATGTAAACGCGTTATCTAATTTAAAACTACTGGTCAACTGTCATAATTTTGAAACTTAACTTTCTATGATGTCTTATATAACAACTACGGTGTTTGGGTTGTAAGTGTTTCTTTGTGATGTTAATGTTGCGTTGCAAAAACAAATCGGTTTCTAACTGGACATAAAATTATTTAGCTCCTTCATACCAACATATTAATCTCTATACAATGAATGTCAGATATCTAAATGTTTTTCAACTCAAAATTATTATTGAAAAAATACAATATGGTTTAGTACATATTTATATCTAAAGCTTAGATTTGATAAACTTTTTAAGGAGTCTAAAAACTTCAATTCTTTTCGGCAATCTACTTTCAGATCATTATTGCTTAACACATACTATTTTATCATAAGTGTTAATATATAATTGAACCTTACTTTTCTTTACAAGTGTTAATATTTTGTACTTTATAGTGCACATTATAGTAATACCATGGACACCAGAGTTTAAGACTATTAGAACACGAATTCATTGCTTAATTATGATGTTTCTGTCAGAGAAAAATGATTTCCTAACCAGTTTAAAAATTCAATCTCTAAGCCAATTTCTTACTTAATAGACACTTTCCCAATTTAGTTCAAGTTTCAAAATCAAAATTTGTTTAAGTAGTATCTTTGCCTAATTGATATGTGTCTGAATGATTGACATGAGATTCTTATTTTTAAAAAGTTATATGAAACTAATATTTTGTAGTGCTTCAGCTTTTGTATTTTTCTGTAAAATAATCTAGCCATGTTTGTTTAAAATAAATACTATTGGTATTAAATTGATTTGTTTTTTGCATTTACTATTTCTTTGACTTAAGCATAAAAGCAGCAAGAAACATGTATGACATATATAAATGAAGAATTAGTTTCTTTAGTATCGAATAATTTGAGTAAAAAATATTCAATATTGGAAATCAATGACTTTTTTCATTCAAATCTGCTTCAATATAAAAATCAGAAGATGCAGTATAAATGTCCATGACACAAATCCCCATCAAGACACAATGTGGTACAATTAAGCAATCGCAGGTTACAGTATTACTTTCAATGCAAGCCATCTCACTGATCAGTAGGCTACAAAGTGTCCCCAAATGACCAGTATAAGACGATTCAAGCAAGAGAACAAAAGGATATAATGTTCAATATAAGAGATTCCTATAAGGCAACAGCAGTTCAATTTCAGTGTTTAGATTATTCTAATGAATTTGTCAAAAGTCAGAGGGAATATCTTTTTAATTGTGGTAGGAATACCAATGAGACAACTCTCCATCAAGACTCAGTGTAGTCAAAGTAAGCAATTATAGTTTACAATACAGCTTTCAGCACAAAGGCTTGTCTCACATTGGACAGCAACATACTAAGGGTCCCTAAAACACCGTTATAAAACAATTCAAACAGGAAAAAACAAGTCTAATTTAACTACAAACCAGAAACAAAAAGCATATATATATATATATGAACTGCACCAAAAAAAGGACAACCACTAAACAACATGCTTCTAACTTGGGACATGTGCTTATGGATGCACCTGGTTTAAAAGATTTTACATGCTTACCATAAGACATTAGTGTAAATTTACCACTTAAAAGACACTCTTTAAAAGTTAATGAAAAAGTCGTTTTTAGATAAAACAGGAACACCTTACAACACTTCATAAATGTGGCCTTTAAACAAACTAATATTTAGGAGTTTGGTATTCAGTGGTAATTTCATGTTTGCCCATGTTAGTTTTTTTGTTGTTTTCATTTTTGTTTGTTTATTTTTAAGTACAAGATGTAAACTGTTCAATGGCAAGACTACAAATAGCTTTCATAATGAATTGGTTTTCGTCATCAAGGTGAAGAGGATTCAGTGCAATTCAAATTGTATATATTTACAAATAAACTTGCAGGCCTTTTTTCATGACCCACAAATTAAAATATATAAAAACATTAAAATAAAAAGGGACGAGTGTGTAAAGGTTATTCCGAATCATATAGTTTGGAACATTGAGAAAAAATCAGCAATATCCTCAAAGTGAGTAAAAGGTTTAAAAAGGTATTTGTTTTTAACAAAAGAGGTTTGTCATCTAAAACTTTTAAGAGCACAAAAAACACAACTTAAAACTGCCAATGCTTACTACCTTAAGCATCACAAAAAACTTGCAGAGCAGGTGTAAGGATCTTAATAATGATCAATATCAAGCCATTGTTCAAATAACCATGCACATATCTCAAACTCCAATAAAAACGGCTATTAAACGGCTTTTTAGACGGCGATGTTCCTTTGGCTCCATCATACGGTGTATATATATCCCAACTCGTTCGTTATGCCCGTGTGTGTAGTGATGTCATAGATTTTAACGAACGTAATCAATGCATCACTAGTAAATTATTAAATCAAGGATTTCGTTACCATAAATTACGTAAAACTTTTGCTAAGTTCTTTCATAGATACAAAGATTTGATTGGTAAATTTGGCTGTACTTGTAGAAAACTGATTAAAAACGGTATTTCACATCCTAAATTTTACGGTAATATTGTACTTAAAGCGCGGAAATCACTATGTGATCCGTGTAAACTCATCGAACCTTTAAACAAACTTATTAGTAATGGTTATCTTACCAATGTTGTAATTAGATCTTTGAATATAGTTTACATTGGCACTAATATCGATTTTGTCATCAGCAAATTAAAACATAACTAAATTTGTATTTTTTTCAAGTGGGATGTATAAAGACACACCCACGTTCGTTTAGATCTATAAAGAGGTTAAACTCCTTACTATCCTACTGTCTGTCGATACATTTATTTTTGGCATTGCACTAGTCATGTCTTCTTTGACTGTCCATGACGTTAAAATACTAAATCCCTGGGATGTGTTTTAGTTGATTTTAGTCTCTGATGCATGATTTTTTATTATTAATTGTTTTGGCTTTTAACTAGCTGTCAGTAACTGCGAGTACTCTCAAATCGTACTTTCTTGTTTATTTGACCTGTTGATGCTAATTGTATTGCTTTTTTGTTATTTAATGTTAATTCGGGGTTATATCTGGTCTATATACCAGCTTTGATAAGTGTTTGGTATAACTTTAAATTTTCACTTCGTACTATGAACATCCAAATTATTTATTTTGTTAAAATATTTCCTTTCTCTATTGGCACTGTACACGTATACCTAACAACAAAATTATTTTCATTTACCTGTGTTTAAAGTTTTTGCAAATGGCTGATATTTTTGTTCGAGCATATTGTTTTTCTTTAATTGTTATACATTTCTTACCGATATAACATGTTACTTTTATTATTCTTCCCTTAGTTTATTTATTTTGTATTTACATTGTGTCATAGGTCAAATTTATTTGTTCAGTGTATGTTAAATGGTGTTAATATGTCCTTTGATTGAGTTAAGCTATTTCAGTTGATATTTTATAGTGTGTCTTTCTATGATGTGATGTTAAACTATTGTTTCGGAAAAAGGGTGAAGGTTTGGTACCATTAAAACGTTTAAACCCGCTGCATTTGTTTGCACCTGTCCTAAGTCAGGAATCTGATGTTCAGTAGTTGTCGTTTGTTGATGTGGTTCATAAGTGTTTCTCGTTTCTCGTTTTTTATATAGATTAGACCGTTGGTTTTCCCGTTTGAATGGTTTTACACTAGTAATTTTTTGGGGCCCTTTATAGCTTACTGTTCGGTGTAAGCCAAGGCTCCGTGTTGAAGACCGTACTGTGACCTATAATGGTTTACTTTTATAAATTTTGACTTGGATGGAGAGTTGTCTCATTGGCACTCATACCACATCTTCGTATATCTATTAAGGTTCACGTATTGCATTTCTTTTTTAAAAGAAAGCAACTTGTGACGTCTTTACACTAAATTCATTATATGTTGGATGTGTACTGATTGACAATTTAATCTTAGATGGATGATTTTTTTCTTTATTGGTTGTAAGTGGCTTTGAACTAGCTATTAGAAATTGCGAGTACTCTCAGATCAGTAATTAATGTCTTTTTGTTGTTGGGATATATTACCAATGTTATTTCAACTGATCGGGCGGAGTTTACGTTTCAATTTGCATAAGGCCAGTCTATTCGAAGATGTGTGTTATAAGGATGATTGCCGTTATAATCATTATTGCTGATTTCTAATCACCTATCAGTGTCACCAAACAGATATACAGAAGAACTGAGTGTACGACATTTGATGAACAAATTAGTTTAAAATATAGCATTCATTTTATATGTGCTATTGCAGATTATTTTATAGTATTGTATTTATTGTATTTATTGTATTGTTCTGTTTGAAACTTTTGTGATTGTGAGATTTATTTTTCACGTGATTTATAAAAAAAAAGATATAAGATAATAAAACATTTAGACCCCATTTTTTCCTTCTTTGAATATGATCAATTCTAAATAATATCATTCTAGATATAAGAAAGGAAAAAGGTAATTCAAACTGAAACGTTATATGTATATTTTGCAAGTGATGTCGTCATTTTCTCATTTGCAATCATACCACATCTTCTTTTTTATACTTATTAATAAGAGGGGTGAAATGGGATGTTCATTCCCCACATTTAGCTTTTTCATGTTTTTGAAATTTGCCCCCACTTTCCAATTTTTCCACATTCATTGTTAACCCCCTACCTCCCCGTGTGTGTTACCTCTGTATCCCTTATATCCATATAACTTTCATCCCAACTTCCCAACCCCCTATATCCCATATACAACAAGCGTGTCATCCACCTCTAATAAAATAATCCATACAATTTACATGGTTATTACCAATACGTGCCGAACTAGATAAACGGTTCCCAATTTACAATTATGTGGTCAAATGCCCAACATATCAATAACACACTATAGCACAATAATTTAATACATGAATTTACATAATGGGCAATGAATGAATGGTGATAATGTAACATGATTGTATTGTCGACGCCCGACGCTCTGTGTTAATAATTTGTTACAATGACAATAATAGCTTTGACCAAAAAATATTGATGAGATTTTATCCCAACTAGCATAAAATAGTATTCATGAATTTTAGCACCATTTTTGGTTCAAGAAAAGCTATTAAAAATATATATTTAGAAAATATAACATATTTAAAAATTTCGTTTTAAAATATTTTGTATAACACAAAATACAATGACAAAATTGTCATGATTGTTCAGATGGGATAAAAAATAATTGCAGTATATCTTTTAATACTTTCGAGTGTATAATATCATCAAAAATGTTGATAAATAAAAAAAAATCAGATGCACCCATATTGTATCACACACACATTACATTCAACAATAAATATACAATCGAGAACCTGAACAATTTTTATAAAAATGCTGAGTATTTAGACATTACATAGCGTGAATTGCACTTATTCTCTGGCACTGTTATTCATGTTCTGTAAAAAATTTTTGCATATTTTATACAAAAAAGTCCCATAAAGCATTGTAAAACAATGAACAAGAGACTTTCTTATATCATTCAGTTCGAAGATCTCAGAGCACCACAGAGTCCAGGAAGATTGGAAATTCACAATTACTTTTACCTTTATACCAGATGCATTGCAATTATTAATTCAATTTTAAGCAGCAGTCGATGTGTCATATATGAATGTTTATTTATGATTTCTCCTTTTCCATGCTTTCTTCCAAATGTTTGATAAGCAAACAGTTGAATGAAAGCGGAAGAATATTTGCAATGGTAGAGAAATATGATTGAAAATGTTCCATCCAACAGAACCATAGAAGTGAAGCTGTATTGGGTTTGCCTCTGTTCGCTGTACTTCAAAAGTGTTGATTGCCCACAATGCAATATTGCACATGAGCAGAAAAGTTACGAATTCCCGCCCAGGTTTAACCCGTTCCTGTTCCCTCCTCAATGCTGACTTCCGCAATGCGTGGAGAAGAAATACCGTTTGTATAGTTGCTTGGAACATGCCAAGAACGCATGATAAAATCACTAACAGTCCATTCGATTCATGATCGTCAAAGGCTGATGCAACAATACTGAAAAATCCGAACATATAAACTCCGCCCAAAGACACTAAAATAAGTGTTTCTTCGAGATCTAACTTCTGATCATAGTTAAATTTGAGACTCTGCATGCGGTGAAAGGCCAAGATGACGGCCACAGACGTCATCACGTGAATTGCCACTTTAGACAAGTGTTCTATTTTAATTGCAGTTTCAACAAACGTTGTTGATCTGACTAAAACAAAGAATGTAATCATTGATATGACGGAAGCAACAAGAACGAAGATGCCCATGAATAATCCACGACTTGAACTAGAACAATCCACATTAATCCTCTGTGTCTTACTTTTCTGGTCCCCTGCCGTACCAGGCAGGTTAGGATTGGTTTCATGTTTACCTATGTTTCTCCACATTACGTATAAAATACCTGAAAAAATTTTAAAGTTCATTAATTTTGATGTTTTCCTCTTCATCGCTAGTAGTGCTTCAAGATAATGGAGGATAATTACATTTATTGATTGAGTGTTGATTGATTAACGTCCAGTGGCAAATATTGCATGTATATTAATCAGGATGACAATAACAGAAACAGAACGTATTGGCTAGAATTTAATTTTTTTTCTATGTTAAATGTTCTGGCATAGACGACTACTGTGTTTGTTCTGTAAGCAGTTAATTTTAATTGGGCATTCAATGTTTTATTTCAGAAACATGCAAAATATTCAAATCTAGTATGCATGTTTTATCTTTATCATTTAGAGAAACCATCTTTAATCAAACCTTTTTCAACAATAATTGTTACCATGGTTACCTGCAATGTATGAGGATCTGGATGTAGTTAACAGAATTGAGAACAAGAGGCTCTCAAGAGCCTGAATCGCTCACCTGTATCTCAGAGGAGAAGATTTTTAAATGTTAGCAAACTTGATGAACAAATTGTGTAAAATTGTCTTTAAAGGGCAATAACTCCTTAAGGGGTCAATTGACAATTATGGTCATATTAACTTTTTTGTAGATCTTACTTTGCTGAACATTATTGCTGCTTACAGTTTATATATATCTATAATAATATTCAAAATAATAACAAATAAACAGCTGCGCCATGAGCGCATGATACGTCCGTCGTCTTGTGTGTGAATTTTTATGCAATAAGCATAAATAGTTTCTGACATACGGCGTGACATGCGAAAACCCCCCTTTTTTTTTTACAAAAAACTCAATATCTCTAAAATAAAATTTTGAATCAAAACCAAAAAATATACAGATCTTTAGATTAATATAACTAAGAAGTGTGTAAAATTTTAAGCAATAATCATAAATCGTTTTTGAGATACGGCGCGACATGTGAAAAACCCCTCCCCCTTCTTTTACAAAATACTCAATAACTCAAAAATAAAATTTTGAATCATCATCAAAAAGTATACAGATCTTAAGGTTAATATAACTAAGAAGTGTGTAAAGTTTTAAGCAATAGTCATAAACTGTTTTTGAGATACGGCGCGACATGTGAAAAACCCCTCCCCCTTTTTTAACAAAATACTCAATATCTCTAAAATAAAATTTTGAATCATCACCAAAAAGTATACAGATCTTAAGATTAATATAACTAAGAAGTGTGTAAAGTTTAAGCAATAATCATAAATTGTTTTTGAGATACGGCGCGACATGTGAAAAAAAAACACACACCTGTTTTAGTTACTAAGTCCCGTAACTCAAAAAGTTTTAATCCTATTATCACCAAAAAGTATACAGATCGTTTGACCATCATAAGAAACAACTATGTTAAGTTTCATGAAATTTGGACAAGTCATTCTCAAGTTACGGTGCGACATGTTTACGCCGGACAGACAGACAGACGGACGGACGCCGGACATTTGTATACCATAATACGTCCCGTCAAAAATTTGACGGGCGTATAAAAACTGCAAAATTTTGTTAAAACTACCAATTCGGTGGCAGCAACCCAACAATGGGTTGTTCGATTCGTCTGATAATTTCAGAGCTGATAGATCTTGACCAATTGAACAATTTTATCCCATGTCAAATTTGCTCTAAAAGCTTTAGTTTTTGAGATATAAGCCAAAAACTGCATTTGACCCCTATGTTCTATTTTTAGCCATGGCGGCCATGTTTGTCGATGGATCAAAACTTCGGATACAATTTATAAACTAGATACCCTAAGGAACATTTAGTTAAAAGTTTGAAGGTATTTGGCTCAGTAGTTTCAGAGGAGAAGATTTTTGAAATAGTTTACGACGACGACAGACGACGACGACTACAGACGACGGACGACGACGGACGCCAAGTGATGGCATAAGCTCACATGGGGCCCTTCGGGCCCTGGTGAGCTAAAAATGGGCAAAACGTGCAGAATACTGGGCAAAACGTGCAGAATACTGGGCAAAACGTGTAGAATACTGGGAAAAACGTGCAGAATACTGGGCAAAACAAATATAAAATAGTGAACATGGGGTCTGAAAATATAAACAGAATAATCGGCTAAATAGATAAAGACTAGATGAAAATGATCTAAAAAAGTAGATCAAAGTATCCTTAATAGCAGATAAGCAACTTTTACATATTTACAATCTTCCTGTAAAGTTTGCAGGGATATGGGTTGAAAACTGTAGGAGGAGTTGATTACACAAAACATGTAACCGCTTTCCCCCGTTCTACGCCCGCCCAACATCACCATACTACAAGCCTGTTTTGGGCTTCTAACTGATTCGGATATTTGACGTGCTAGTTGGCAAGGTATCAGTCATCCTACATGGACTAATTTTTCTGACTCCGAGCCGACCAGTCTTATACGTCTTAATACCGCGTGTTTAGCAGAGTCTTTTGTTTGAGCCGGACGACCTCCCGCAATTGAGGCGAGCACGAAACCACCGAGGCGGTTTTTAGTCTATAAAAGTAGTATTAAAGAGAATATGATAGGTTTCCGATCTAACTGAGGGTCTGGAAAGGGTTAACAGAATAGAGTTTAATGGGAAGCTATAATATAAAGAATAGAGAATAATGGGGGGGAATGTGAATTATAGGGAAAAATAACTTAAAACATTAAGGAATGCAGAAAAGAAGGATCCCCGCCCAAAATCTCCCTCCTAAATGACAAAAACATTAAAATACACATACTATCAAGATTCATGCCTTGGGACAGGCGCCACAACACGTGATGGAGTTCACTTAATTTTAAGACCTCCGCTATTCAGAATGCAATTATTGAAACTTGCATATGTGAAAGTAAACTTAAGATACCGGTACATTGTTTTGATTGCTGTCTTTTTTTTAGCAAGCAACATTTTATATAAATATATATTCTGTACTATACTCACCAGCACAAATTAAGCTATATTCAATACTACAGGGGTACAAATATGGTCCAGAAGAATGGACTACTTCTTTCATCAATGATGGTCCCTGACATACACTTGACTGCAGAGTACCAGTGACTGTAATTAATGCAGAATAAAATTATATAAGTGAATACTTAATCCATACTCAAAAACGTAGGTGGTCAATTCTAAGATCGACGGTAGGATGGCGTTACACATGTAAACCCATCTTAAAACGTAGAAGGTCAATTCTAAGATCGACGGTAGGATGGCGTTACACATGTAAACCCATTTTAAAACGTAGGTGGTCAATTCTAAGATCGACGGTAGGATGGCGTTACACATGTAAACTCATTTGAAAACGTAGAAGGTCAATTCTAAGATCGACGGTAGGATGGCGTTACACATGTAAACCCATTTTAAAACGTATGTGATTAATTCTGAGATTGACGGTAAGATGGCGTTACACATGTAAACCCATTTTAAATGGAAAACGTATGTCGTCGATTTCACGCTCGGTGGTAGAAGTTAATGGTAGCAACGCTCCGCAATCGCAATCAACGTTATCGGGATTTCCCAAATGATTTATTTCTAACAGTATATGAGTATTGCATGATAAAAGACCAATCTGATTAAAACACAGTTCCTGTGTTCAAGCTTTGCCAACAAAGATATACCAACAATGAGTTGGAAACGTTGGCGGCGCAATAAGAAAGCTCTGGGTGTTTTTCAAAGATAGCATTTCCAAATATATTTACCAGAATATATAATAGCATAAGTGGATTCATGTCAAAATCATTCAGTTTTCTGCAATTAGCCTGTGACTGGGCGTGACTTTTTCCACCTTCAGTTTGAATCAGCCAATATCACAGATATACCCTACTATTCACCTGATCATAGTTGTTCATTCTCTCAGAGTTGCATTAAGTCCGAATAATTATGACGTCTTGAAAGGCTGTTCATATTTTTTGCTGTGACGCCTTCCTACTACATAGAAGGAAGGTACCTAAGCAAAAATTTAAAATAGCCTTTCAAGACGTCATAATTATGTGGACTAAGTCGCATTGTGCCCAAAATTTTCGTTTCTAAAACAGCCCGTTTAAATATAGAGATGACCATTCATTACATGTATTTCTGTATGCACCAATATTTCTTTAATTAATATATTTTATTCTATAAACGGCTTACAATTTTCTACTGAAGTTGTTCCCTCCACAAGAGGCATGACCGTGACTGAAGTCTCCATTTGTGAAGTTTTCTCCACTTCTCGTATTGTCTCCACCACAATAGTTTCTAACCAAACACACATGTTGGTTGCAACCATATGCATCAGACCAAATCTGGCCAGTGTCTTGTAGCGTTGAATACACATCTGAAATTTAAGACAGATTTTGAAATTGGACAGTTTTTCAAACATAACCTTTTTAGAAGTTGAAGCTAATTTACCCCCCCCCCCCCTTTTTTTCCCCCTCCTTTATGGACCTACATAAATGTTTAATGCTTAGAGTTTGAAAAGGTCCCACTCCGTACGTTGCCTTGGTGCGACCCCCCCCCCCCCCCCCCCCCCCCCTCTTTTTCAAAATCCTAGATCCGCAACTTGGAAGCGACATGAAATTGCCTGGTTGATATATATATAGACATAGAAAATGAATTTCCACACACTAATAACTTAGAATTAGAACAGTTACAGTATTATACATAAACAAATAATGTATTAAAATTGACACAGAAGAGTAATGGGTAAAAAGCGTGACTTTGATTAATTTGATAAGTAAATACTTTGATGAATATATAAGGCTAATAATAGCAGCAACATATTTATTTAAAACAAAACTTCATATAAGTTAACTGATCTTAAAACGCACTGAAGTTGATATATTTCTCAGAAGTTTTTTTCCTAGCAGTTTATCAACAAGAACCATAACATTGTCTCAGATTATTTTCCTCTATCAGGCTTTCCCTGTGTGATTAATAACGGAATATTGAGATAAATAGTTGGAAGATAATATATTAATAACATTGTATGTAAATCATTAGACTTCAAAGTAAACATGTGTATACACCTGTGTCTAAGGTAGAGTGGTTCAAAATATATACTGATGAAAATAAGTAAGTTTTCGTCAAGTACATGCTAATAAACCGTACATAATGTTTTCAGTGCATCTCCCGAATACCGAAGTACTTTCTACATATCACAGTCATGCACAATGTGTAATGTGATACAGTGGACTGGCCAGTCTTCTTAAGTCAATGTAAAGCCAGAAGCGTGTACAGTCAAGACAATGCTGAATGTACAGATAAAGGGCACACAGTCATAAAAACAACTAGTTTCTTAAGATGATCTCAGATGGATTTTGCTATTATTTATAGGTCCTGTTTGGTCATATAGCTCTTCAACTGTTTCATTTCTTATACATCTTTGGCTTTCAAATGGTCGTTCCTGATTAATGTAAATCCAGAAAGACGCTTCGGACGCATGCAATTTATAAAGTGTAATTCTACATTCTTTCGTTGTCATTCAACATGTTAAAGATTCGTATTCTTTTGGATTGATTGGTAATTGTGTTTATGTCGAGTGGCAAATATAAGATGCATACTAAACCTACCTCATTTGCGTGACTCAAAACCGACTAATCCTGCCAATCCTCGCCCTAACTATACAAATGGCAAAATCGTAACACACGACCCACTGTACTTTACTACAGACATAAATGTACCAAATGATAACCGAGGCGGTTTATACTCTTTTTGGTTTTGTTAGACTTAAATATCAATAGTTGGTGCTGTTTATAAAATTTCTAGTCTCATTTTTATTAACTTCCATTCCTGATTCGGTTCTTTGATATTCCGGGTTATCTCATTCCGTCGTCCGTCAGTCCCTGTGACCGTCCGTCCGTACGTCAATCCGATGAACATTTGGTCGCATTTTTCTCAGGAACTACAAATTAAAGCTTCCTGAAATTCGGTATCGAGCTTTATGGGAGCATGCTGTATCATGTGATGCATGTTTACATCTATCGCTCGTCGTCTTATATTTTTACACATAATGCCGTTGTATGAAATTTTCGTCGCATCGTTCCCAGAAACTACACATCAGAGATTGCTGAAAATTAGTATCAAGGATAATGTGAGCATGCTAAATACCGGTTGGCGTTCATCAACTTCCTGTTTACGATTTTTTTTGGCGGATGCATGATCATCATTAGCAAAAGCTCACTGAACATCATGTGTTTAGCTATGAACATACTACTTATTTCGTGATTGATGTTTTAAGTGAATGTTTATATCGATTTCAGACAAAATACGATGTTCCCGACTTTTTCTGAAATAAATGTGCATTATAACAATCACGAGGTTCTATCATAAGTCATAATTTCTGAAAAGAAAAACCCCAAAAGCAAGAAAATTAAACACAAAACAAAGGCTAATGCATTTTTTTAATGCATGTAAGTACGACTCACCTTGGAATTAAGGAAGACGAAGTACAGTTGAACAAATGTGAAACTGACATGAAGTATGGGCCTTAATGCGTGGAGTACACCATTACACGCGAGGATATCGTGATCGAAAAGTTCACCGAAATGAAGACCACTTTTTATCATGCTGCCAATTCCAAAACCTACAATACAATGCATTTTTAAATAACCTATCTATAAATGAGTACTTCTGTCTACACCGGGTACGAAATTATGTTTCATTTATTGCTTCCTTCGCTCTATAAGTTACCTGTCCATTCACAGATTTAATTGATTTATCTTGATTCGGTACTTTTTTTTTTGAAGCAGTCAATGGAAGACCATAAGATATTACTAGTATCAGATAGGTAAACTATTTGAGGCAAAACAAGAATGCATGTGCTGTCTTGCGAGGCATACAACCACTCGTAATTCAAAGTGTCTGTAAAAAGAAGTAGGTGTTTGACAGACAAAAAAGCGCCCCAAGCTGATGACCAAATTTGAAGTCATTCTGTTAATTAGTACCAGAGAAATGTGTGTTGAAAATTATTAAGTTCATTCACCATAGTGAAAAAATCATAGTATCGACAGAGGTAGCATGTGTTTTGACAAATAAAAAACAAGTAAAACACTTTCTAGCACTAGTGCTTTAAGAATACCGTTGCAACGCCCATTTTAGACGTCCTTTTTTATCATTTTTGTTCAATCATACTTAGCAAATCACGTGAAATCGTACCTCGCAAATCACATGTCAACGTACCTAGCAAATCATGTGACCTACGTATTACCTTGAAGAAGCAGTAGCTTAAATTTTATGTATATTTACAATAAATTTCATAAAACTTCAATAACAAACTATATAGGGGAGGGTTGAGATCTCAAAAAACATGTTTAACCCCGCCGCATTTTTGCGCCTGTCCCAAGTCAGGAGCCTCTGGACTTTGTTAGTCTTGTATCATTTTTAATTTTAGTTTCTTGTGTATAATTTGGAGTTTAGTATGACTTCCATTATCACTGAACTAGTATACATATTTGTTTAGGGGCCAGCTGAAGGACGCCTCCGGGTGCGGGAGTTTCTCGCTGCATTGAAGACCCATTGGTGGCCTTCGGCTGTTGTCCGCTCTATGGTCGGGTTGTTGTCTCTTTGACACATTCCCCATTTCCATTATCAATTTTATATAACAAGTAAAACGGTTAAAATACAAGAATTAATACCCTGCCGATACTTTACAATAAAAATATGATGTACTAGTACTACTTTTTCAATTCACAAGAACAAATGTGTTTACAGACAATTATGATACATTAAAATAAAACATAATGTATGTAGGTGCGAACTAAGTATAATCTCAATTATGCAACATACATTTATATTTATGTAACATACATGCTTTCTTCATAAACACTAATCAGTTGCCTTGTATGTTTCTAATAAAGAAGGCATGTTGTGACGCACGGAAGTGAAATTTTTGTTTTTTTTATATTATGACTGTTATGTTAACACAGGGAGAATATTGAATATTTAATATTTGCACGAAAACAATCTAGGATAGAAACAAACTAAGGTTGCCTGTAATTGCTTACATCCACTTTATTTGAACTTTGGTGGATAGTTGTCTCACTGGCAATCATACCACATCTCATTATTTTTATAAGGAGTTATCTGTGAGTTGATATATATCCTTGTCCCTTTGTCTTTGGGGGATATTTAAAGTTCTCATGGGAACCATACAAAATCTCCTTTTATATGTAAACTGTGTTTTTAAAAATACCATTATAAAAATATTTATTCCGTTATCGTTAACAATTAACATATACTTTTTGATAACTTAACAATCATGAACATTAAACTATCGATGACAGTTTTGTACCGTTCGATCTAAATGCCGAATATTGCGCCATTCGATTTGCAATGAAGGCAATTGTAGAATAAATCAATTAAAAAATTCTCATTGAAAAATTAATTTAAATAGACAAAGCTGAGCAACACAAACTCAACTAAAGACCGGGATGGATCTCCGGAATTTAGGGATCGATAGTTCCTGGTTAACCGATGTCACCCGTTGTGTTACTCTTTGATAAATACGTTGCTAAAGCACATCCGATGATAAGGAAAATATCTCCTGTTTAACCAGAAGAAAAAACTACAAATCATCGCAAAATGTATTATTTTAATCCCGAATGCATCACTGAATAGGAAATTTTGAAATGTAACACAGTTTGTATGGATAAACAATCGTACGTAGGAGACAGACTACATCATGCAAAACAATCCCGTTAGGTCAAAAAACGTCCCCAAAACACTACGCCAAAACAAACCGTTGCATAAATATGTATACTTGAACCTTTGACGTTTTTGAAGTTGCATGTGTGGTGGTAATTGATATATTGCACAACACATTGGTAAAATCTGCCGGTTTTACAATGTGATTGTTTGCCAGGAAAAGAACTTCATAATAGTATCAACTTAAAAAAAACAAGGCTTCATTTGGACTTTTGTCAGAAAAACTGATAAATATAATAATGTAAGCATTTTTTTTAAAGATTTTGGTTGATGTTTAAAAGTTGATATACGAGTCTACAAATCTTGTGATATTGTTTTACATATGGTCAAAGTATTAAAGCTTCAGAAACTATGAACAAACTTCTCATCTTACCTACAGCACCTAGGCGTAGGTAGAAACTTCCGGTATGATATGTCCTCGAGATGTCATAAGAATATTTCTTCTGTTTAAATGAAGACGAAGCTGCTACTTCCGGTGGCACAAATCGACGTTGTTTCTTCCGCACTATTAAAGTTGTATTTTGAAGGAGGTAGGTATAGGCATATATCAAAAAACAAATGCTGACAGCATATAAATAAATATAAAAACCCTGAAAATAAAAAAAACTCACTTTACTTTTTCCTACAGACGATACATCTGTTTTTGTCTCTCAAAAATATGACTATTATATAAATTTGGAACTTTAAAGTAGGTTTAATAAAGAAGCATTATCTCGAATCCTTGACACACATAATGGCTAATATAAGTAAAGCGACGTGAAATATAATAACGATTCTTTATTAAATATTATATATGCATGCGATATAATGGATTTTCAGAACAGTGTTGTCTGGTTCAAAGCATTTTAAAATTCTATAGGTCTGATAAACTGAACTTTAAGCATGTTAAGAGAACTTCCCGCAAACCAACGGAAGAGAAAAAAGTAAAAGAAAATCATTCACTGTAAAAAATTGAAATGACTTACCTCAAACAGAAAGCTCATTGGAGAAGGGGCATATATTTCAGCTATGGGAACAACAAGCCCAAATACCACAACACCCATGGCGTACAATCCACTTAGAACAATAAACAATGTATCGCTATGAAAAGAAAGGAAACAAGAGATAAGTTTGCATTATATTAGTATTTTAATAACAAGTTGCTTTCAATATAACAGTATAAATGGAGATAGATAGTACTTTTGTTAAATTATGAAAAAAGCATCTTCAAATTACCTTCAACACAGTCATCTGAAGTTGATGACACAATTGAAGACACGGGGAAATTAAGACTTTTTCAAAATATAATGTGTCTTGGACAACATGAACAAATATAAACGTAAAATGTACACTTACATTAATGTGGTATCGCAATTCTGGTCATCAGACCCATAGCCTCGTCTTCGAATCATTGACATTGAGGCTGATGGCGGGAAATCCCTATCGAAGCTATCACCTGAATGTACAATGTCATCGTGTCCAATACCTGTAAAATCGGAGAAAATACATTGATGTAATAACTATTCTGTAGATTAATCAGTAAATACTGGATCCAGACTTTATTTAGTCTTGGATCTTTAGCCACCAGAATAGCCTAATTTGTTAATTTTACCGCGATTGTGACTTTTTGAGTGTGGATTCGCATGGCGGGTGGGGCATGCACAACAAGACACGCTTAACCCTGTCGGCGTACCTGGTCTTGCTCCTTTTGGAGTTCATGCGATTCTCTCGGTTTTCATTTTGTTACCTTGATTTGTGTCTATACTTTTAAGATTTGAACATCGGTTATTTATTTGCCTAAATTTTGTAACTGTTTTGTTCATCAATTAGTTTTAAAGACACTGCATGTGTATTCTCACATTCTAAGTTAATGCTTATTGAAAAACAGTAATACAATCGCTGGTCCCTTACGTTTGGCTTTGTTGTGTTCAAGTAGTAATTTTGTGTCCAGAATCGACACACCATAACTGCAACAAATGTATAAAAGTAACAAAAAGTGACAGTTTAGCTACTATTACGAACGTGTGTGTTCTTAAGTACACGAAGTATCTGTTTTTATACGACCGCAAAAATTAAAAATTTTTTGGTCGTATATTGGTATCTCCATGAAATTTCACCATAAGGTTCAATACCACAAAAGGAAGGTTGGGATTGATTTTGGGGGTTATGGTACCAACAGTTAAGGAATTAGGGGCCAAAAAGGGGCCAAAAATAAGCATTTTTGTAACTTTCAGACAATAACTTGTGTGTAAGTGTTTGGATATTTCTGAAATTGTACTACAAGGTTCCATATCACAAAGGGAAAGCTGGAATTGAGTTTGGGGGTAATTGCCCGAAACGTTTAGGAATTGGGGGCCAAAAAGGGGCCAAAAATAAGCATTTTTCTAGTTTCCAGACAATAACTTGTGTTCAAGTGTATGGATCTCTCTGAAATTGTACTGCAAGGTACCATACCACAAAGGGAAGGCTGGGATTGAGTTTGGGGGTGATGAATCATAAGGGGGTTCAAAAAATTTGGGGGGGGGGGGATTTTTTTTTTTTTTTTTTTTCTTTTTTTCCTTTTTTTTTTCTTTTAAAATTTTCCATTTTAAGTTGGTTATTTCTGATTTATATTTAAAAGCAAATAATAATGATATGGTAGGAGATACACACCAAACAGGATGTGTAAATTATTATATAATAAGTATTGTGCAATAGCAAGAAATTTTCAATTGCACAGTATTGCACAATAGCAAGAAATCTTCAATTGCACAGTATTGCGCAATAGCAAGAAATCTTCAATTTAACAGAATTGCGCAATAGCAAGAAATATCCAATAGCACAATATTGCGCAATAGCAAGAAATTGTCAATTGTACAGTATTGCGCAATAGCAAGAAATATTCAATTGCACAGTATTGTGCAAAAGAAGATACTTCGTATAAATTGCTTATTTCTTGATCAATTTCAATGGGGTTTTATTCTTGAATTCTTGGGGTTCTTTAATATGCTGAATCTAACCTTGTATTAAGTTTTTGGATTTTGGGCCCCGTTTTTAAATTGGTCCACATTGAGGTCCAAAGGGTCCAAAATCAAACTTTGTTTGATTTCATCAAAAATTGAATTATTGGGGTTCTTTGATATGCCGAATCTAACCGTGTATTTAGATTTTTAATTTTGGGTCCCGTTTTTTAAATTTGTCTACATTAAGGTCCAAAGGGTCCAAAATTAAACTTAGTTTGATTTTAACAAAAATTGATTTCTTAGGGTTCTTTGATATGCTGAATCTAAACATGTGTTTAGATTTTTGATTATGGGCCCAGTTTTCAAGTTGGTCCAAGTTGGGGTCCAAAATTAAACTTTGTTTGATTTCAACAAAAATTGAATATATGGGGTTCTTTGATATGCTGAATCTAAATATGTATTTAGATTTTAGATTTTTGGCCCAGTTTTCAAGTTGGTCCAAATTGGGGTCCAAAATTAAACTTTGTTTGATTTCAACAAAAATTGAATATATGGGGTTCTTTGATATGCTGAATCTTACCATGTATTTAGATTTTTTATTTGTGGGCCCGCTATCAAATTGGTTCATATTGAGGTCAAAAGGGTCCAAAATTAAACTTTGTTTGATTTCATCAAAAATTGAATTATTGGGGTTCTTTGATATGCCAAATCTAACCGTGTATTTAGATTTTTAATTTTGGGTCCTGTTTTTTAAATTGGTGTACATTAAGGTCCAAAGGGTCCAAAATTAAACTTAGTTTGATTTTAACAAAAATTGAATTTTTGGGGTTCTTTGATATGCTGAATCTAAACATGTGTTTAGATTTTTGATTATGGGACCAGTTTTCAAGTTGGTCCAAGTTGGGGTCCAAAATTAAACTTTGTTTGATTTCAACAAAAATTGAATATATGGGGTTCTTTGATATGCTGAATCTAAACATGTATTTAGATTTTAGATTTTTGGCCCAGTTTTCAAGATGGTCCAAATTGGGGTCCAAAATTAAACTTTGTTTGATTTCAACAAAAATTGAATATATGGGGTTCTTTGATATGCTGAATCTTACCATGTATTTAGATTTTTTATTTGTGGGCCCGCTATCAAATTGGTTCATATTGAGGTCAAAAGGGTCCAAAATTAAACTTTGTTTGATTTCATCAAAAATTGAATTATTGGGGTTCTTTGATATGCCAAATCTAACTGTGTTTTTAGATTTTTAATTTAGGGTCCCGTTTTTTAAATTTGTCTACATTAAGGTCCAAAGGGTCCAAAATTAAACTTAGTTTGATTTTAACAAAAATTGAATTCTTGGGGTACTTTGATATGCTGAATCTAAACATGTGTTTAGATTTTTGATTATGGGACCAGTTTTCAAGTTTGTCCAAGTTGGGGTCCAAAATTAAACTTTGTTTGATTTCAACAAAAATTGAATATATGGGGTTCTTTGATATGCTGAATCTAACCATGTATTTTGATTTTGGACATTGGACCATAATAGGTAAATTAAAAAAATTGAAGTTCTTAGACCACATTCTTTCTGTGTCAGAAACCTATGCTGTGTCAAATATTTAATCACAATCCAAATTCAGAGCTGTATCAAGCTTGAATGTTGTGTCCATACTTGCCCCAACTGTTCAGGGTTCGACCTCTGCGGTCGTATCAAGCTGCGCCCAGCGAAGCATTTTATTTAGACTTATTATCGTACTTAATTGGCGATCATTAAGCCAATTTACGTTTTGAAAATTTCCTCTATTACTCCTGGTCTGCAGTGAAAGGTGAAACTGACATGTTATGATCAATTTCACCAGAGAAAGACATAACCCATCCACAACACATCAATACGCGTAAGATAAGGCGAGTGATAAGCTGAACGATACGATAACAAACTGTCAAAATGGAGAAAAATGAGATCGTTACTAAGTAATTAGTCTGTTTGACCACAACAGAAAGTATAGTTTGTTATGTGCACGGTATGTTAAAAGTCCGTACGATGACCTATAGTCGCTAACCTTCTAAGTTATTTGGTGTCTAGTAGAGAGTTGTCTCATTGGCATTCATACCACATCTTCTTATTTTTGTACGGTATGTTAAACTCCAGACAAATATAATTATCCTAATATACAATTTAAAACAGTTATAGTGTGTAAAGGGGGTAATGTGTTAAACAGTTATTGTATTTTGTGTTCAAAAGATGGCAAACTTCATATGTACGTGATTGCGGTTGCCTTTGTAAAGTGCGCAATTCTAATTTTGCGTATTGGCTAGTGATGTAGTGATACGTTTAATTGCATAGAATGTTGCCTAAGATTTGTTACTGATAAATATCCCTCACCCATTAAAAACCCTTTGAATACAATTCTTCAGGCTTATAAGGAGGGTCAAAACCATGCGCGCATCAGTAAAAGCATATACGAAATGACATAGCAAGGTTATGCTAAAACCCGTTCTTCAATATCTGGAAACCTACCCGAATCACCGTTTGGCCCATGCCCATGGGTTTCATCAATTAGAAAAGCCTCGGTTGTTCCTGTTCTTGTATTATGCTGAATGAGACTTGCACTCTTCGCATGATATCGTCTGCTATTATTCAACACGTGCGGCGTGTGCCAAGAGTGTCGTCTGCCTCGTTCCAGTGTTCCCTCGTTTTCTGTTACTTCTGGTGATGCTACATTTGAAGGATTAGCAGACGACATATCGCCTCTGTCACGATGTGAGCACCTCGGTAAGGTATTTCTATGGGCGTTGAGTATTTGCTGTAAAGCTTCACTTGCACTAGAACTGGTTAAACTCGGTGGAAGTGGAAGTGGTGGAGAGGATGCATTTTGTCTGTAACTTGGACGATTGGCAACTGGGACCCAACTGAAATATTAAAATCATTTTATCGTGTAAGCTCAACTTTTTATGCGTTGGTAGTAAGCTGTAATGACTACTGAATAAGAACTTTACATGCAAGTCGGAAATAAGAATACAGATTACAAAATTTCTTTGATCAATCTTGGTTTCTATTTCTAAGCAGAATAATCGTAGAAAATTGTTCAATAAAAGAATTTTATTGTAATTAATATTAATTAATATGATTTCTATGTTCAGTAAATTAAAAAAAAAGCCACAAGGCGTACTTCAATGAGACAGCTACCAAACGACATAAACAACCAAAGAACATCTATATTTTCAACGTTCATGCAGTCTTGAACAATATAGACAGTTGTCAAACAAAATGTCAAGCTCGAAATCGCCCCTAGTAAATGATTTCGATATTATTTTTTCAAAAATATATCTTTTTATTTAAGACCGTGTTGATTATTTCCAGCATGTACCTGCTAGTTTCCATATCGTTATACTTGTTCTTAAAAAAAAATCAAAATACCGTTTGCCGACAAAATCGGAAGTCCACGAAGTAACGCAAATAGCATTGTCCCTACATTCCTTGTGGTGTTAGAGATCAAGTGTTTAATTAATGTAGAGAATCGTAGTAGTGTTCAGAATATTTCAACATTTTATAAACAGTAAATTTAAAGAAAAACGAACGTATCAATGGTCAGATCAGGTTATAATTCTGCATGTCGAAAACAGTAATAAAATAGTATTTACCTTGCTAGATATGGAAAATATAGTGAAGTCCTCTGTTAATAGCTCATAATGAATATGTATATTTTTTCAACAAAATATTATCTTTTAGTAAATCTTTACAAACTATACCTTAACAAATCTATTGAATCTTCATATTAAAAATTATCTTTAAAACCTCAAAATCATCATAGGAGATGTTGATGTTTTGATAAAACATGATACAAAAAAAAAAATTATATAATATTTGATTATTTTTTTCTTTAACAGGTGGTGCATGTGAGCTTTTTATGTCAACGTACGAATTAATACTACCGATTCTACGATAAGATTATCATAAATCCGTTTTATCTATTTTGCTGCTAACATTCGGACGTATATCAAATAAAACACGTGTTCAAATTTTCATGTATATCTAGAAGTTATGATCTTTGAATATTGAGTAAGTTTGATTGCAGATAAATCTTCGGGAATAAAAATCGTCTAGTTCAAATTCGAAGCAAAGATAAACTTATTCAACGAAGTTTTTTTTCTGTCTTTTACGTGCATTTGACCTATAATGGTTTACTTTTACAAATTGTGACTTGGATGGAGAGTTGTCTCATTGGCACTCATACCACATCTTCTTATATCTATTTAATGAAAAGTATCCTCTTAAATAAAAGAAAACAACAATCTGGTGATACTGCGAGACAACTCTTGAAAAAGATTTATTGTATTATAAAGTTGCCATATTGGTTGGACAATCAGATTTACCATAACAAAACGCAGTATTCCAAGCATATCTACATGGTTACAGTCGGCGTTGCAGTATTTGAAGATTCATGTATGCTCCAACTGAAAATTTGGTCCCCAATGGCAGTAATGTCATGAATGTTGACTGATCCAACATTAAAACATGAACTCTTGGAAAGTATCTGATTTAAAAATATGACGATGTGGTATGATTGCCAATGAGACAACTATCCACCCGAGTCCAATTGACGTGTATGTAAGTCATCTATATGTCATCTTACGGTCTTCAACAATCTGCAAAACTTATACCCTTTATTTTGACATAAAACAAATGTGAAACAATGCAATCGAGAAAACAAAAAGCCTGATTTATGACAAAAGAAATAAAGGGAAATAAGTAGACAGACAGCAACCAACGACAAACACTGCATGACAGGCTCCTGACTTAGGACATGTACATAAACAATGTGGCGGGATTAAACGTGTTTGTGAGCGATCAACTCTCCCCCTAACCTATGTCATTGGTGTAATGGTACAACATAAGAACAAACTTTACATCAGCTGGAAATGGGCCCATCAGAAGCACATGAAGCACACGCAACTTTTCTGTCATACTAGTATTGAGTTTTATCAGCCGTACTCAAGAAGATTTTTCAACATATTTCCAACAGTTGACCAAGTCAGACTAAGTCCTTGACAAATTGCTTTGCATTGGTTGTCCGATTGGTCAATTCCAAAGTAACAGCACTCTGGCAGTACAAGGTTTTTTGGTTTCAACATGTTCATCAATCCAGATGTAGAAGTTCTAGACGATAGATTTTTTCTATACATTTTTTTCAACGTTTCAAATATAAAGGAAATAATAGGTCTGCACCTTTATATTGGTAGTACTATCAGCACCAATATCACATCATTAGGAGCCGCGCTGTCATATTTATATCCGATTCACCTGTTCTTAAAGGTGGGACTTTTCTACATAATTTAAATATTGGCTATTTTGTTTTTGCGATTAGTACCAAAGTTATATAACCAGCGGAAATTCCATGAATTTATTTTTTGTTTAACGCATCTAGCAATTTTTGAATTAAAATTCAGTGTTATATTTAGGTAAATAATTTTGTTCAGAGACAAATGCGTGTAATATCATCTCCCCATGGGGACATGTGGATACAATCCCATGCAATACTTAATGCAAAACATAAAGAAATTATTCTTAAGTTAAGTTCACTGTGACGACGGGATACATAATTATGAAAACTAATTGTGTATCTAAAAGAACATGCGTTATAGATAACGCGCTAACACATTGTAACTTGCTCTTCCATAAGGCCTGTACTTAATTATCATGTCCTAAGAAATGCGAACTAATTAAATGTCTACACAAGTCCTTTGATGTGATAAGTTTGTGTGATCTTACTTTCACGTTATTTTTTATTAATGAAATTACTACCCCAATCTTATTGTGTAGGAGTATATATACATATGTATCGGACCTCCTGTTGACTTGTGCAGCATAGTCATCTTATTTGAACAATGTTATGTAAAGATATTTTTCAATTATCTAGAAAAAAAGTTGAAAAGCATTATTGCAATGTAACATCTTTGTCTGCAAGAGTAAACCCATATCTTCACCGATATTTGAAAAGGGAGATATAAGGGATATATGTGATAAAATGAATTAGAGTAAAATATTTGAAAGAAATTAAATTCCTTGATTCGGAATGTTTTTAAGCAATCCTTGATCAATCAATCAACCGAAGCGACTCCGTGTATCAAGATTATCTCTAATATATACAGTTAAAACTTTATCTTACTTCGAACATAAGGTATCGAGCGTACATGAATCCGGAATATATCGTTTCGTAATTATTTCCGATACTTGTGTCGTCCTTGTCCATGATGCCGGAATTGATGTCCTTCGTATTTTCTTTTCTTTATCATGTTTATTATAAAAACCTAAACTTATATTTACTAAAGTACAAATATATATTAACTATCGTTTAGACATGTTATGTTTTTTATATAATGGAGAAATGTTGAGTTTTCGACAAAGAAATATCGCGATGGGTATTCTTATGGTCTGAGCCTTTAAACAGAACAGGCTGCTTTGAAAAATATATAACCATAGCTTGCTATGCGGTATGGGTTTTGATCATTGTTGAAGGTCGTATGGTGTCCTTTAGTTGCGAAGGTCGTATGGTGTCCTTTAGTTGCTAACCTTCTATACGACATTTGGTCTCTGGTGGAGAGTTGTCTCACTGGCAATCATACCACATCTTCTTACTTTTATTATGTTAGGCCACACTTAAAAATATTTTGGTTTGCCCAAACCCTACCCAAAGGTAGAGACTGTGGGTAGGTAGGTAGGTAGGTAGGCATTTTCTTTTTTTTTCGGCAAAGAGAAATTGAAGTGTCAGATGTTTTTTAGTCTTCACATGCCTATCTGATTAAAAAAAACACATTTTTTCACATCAGGACAATAAAAAAATTTGAGTAGGCAGCTATTTTCAGGGTAGGTAGGGTTAGGGCAAACAAACATATTTTTTATGGCCTTACCTAGTAGTAGTCATGATAGTAGCATATACATTCTAACTGGTATATTTGTAACGCTGCATGCTTTAACATTTGTTACTGTGGATTCATTTATTTTCGTGGGTACCAATTTTCGTGTATTAAGGAAAACTTACATGTTCGTGGATATTTAATTTCGTGGTTTTTGACAATGTCTGCATACAAGCCTTTAGTAAATTTGCCATTCGTTGAACTTTTAATTTCGTGGTTAACATATAACCACGAAATCCACGAAAATTGGTATCCAACGAATAATAATGAATCCACAGTAGTTTTGTTCATTGTTGAAGACTGTACAGTGATCTTTAGTTGGTAACTTCTATGTCATTTGTCATGATTTGGTCTCTGGTGGTAATTGTCTCACTGGCAATCATACCACAATTCTTATTTTTATAGTCTTTCTTGTATATTTATTCTCTACCCAAATGACAAATGAAGTTTAACTAGAATGGCTATTAATTACAGGAACAGCCATGAATGACAGTAATTGTACTATATTATTAATTAACTTTGAGTGAAGATTGACCTACCACTTATTTTAAGAAAGTATTAAAAAAAATATATGACAAAATATTTATTTCTTAATTCGCACAAGACTGAATTCTTCGTTTGCTTAAGTTTGCCTTTATCGATTTTCAGGTTGACATTCAATAGAAATATATCATCAAACATAGCGCGGTCAATCAAAGGTCAAATTCAAATAGGCATGGATATATTCTATGGAATTTAAAGTTGAGTCATATTTACTATAGTGAGACTATAGTTGTCGTTATAGAAATGAGAGAAAATGTTGAATTATATTTCATCTATCCTTTTTATATTCCTAATTGTGAGTCCCACAAATACATTTGAAAAAACAAATTTAAAAAAGTGTACCCGCGACTCTTTTCACAAAATTCTTACGATTAAAATTGATCGTAAGTTATGCTGAAATGTGTCTGACTTACGAGTATTTTTACTCTTAAGATTTTTTGTGAAAAGAGTCGCAGTCTTGCCAGTCATGTCAGTAAAATTCTTATGCCCTGTACATAAATTCTTAGTGTACGTAATATTCAGAATGGAATATTTAATAACCGTAGAAATACATCCGAAAAGACGGACGTCAAAATAAGTTATTGTGTTTCAATGAAATGTCATATTCAAACAAAATTCGGATACAATATAGTATATCAGAAGGTTACGAAATAAAATAAATAATCAACCCAGTCGTTTTCATGTCTGTAACCGGAAACACAAATGATTTTATCCTTGGCCTTACATGTATACACAGTTGATACACATTCTAAGTCTAGGAAAATTAGGAGTATATGATATATATATATATATTTAAAAAGATGAAGCTTTAAATGCTTAATGAATAATCTTAAAAATAAATTAATTAAACCCCTTACGTTTCCTCCTTCTGGTTTCAATGTTTTGACTCGCGTCCTACCGTCTATCAATGAAATATTTATTACGCTTAATGGACTTCACGCTGGTCAAGTGGTATTTCATTGCAGTAGTGAGACATTCTTATATAATGATTGATAATTTACATGCCATTGGCAATTGCATCAGTCTGGCCATAGCGACGCGACGGCTAATGATCTTTTAACATGCTTGTGAAATATTAAGGGTGATTTTAATAGGAGGTGTCTTTTTCATATTATGAGAAGTAAATTGCGGTCAAAAGGTTATCAGTAAAACCTTTTCTTCAGGGACGCTATTTGTAACGGGATATTTCTTTATTGGTTTTGTGTGAATTTTAATATAATCTACGCTATTTTAACTACTTTGTAAACAAGAAAATTATTATGAATTAGCATGAACTATGTTTAAGGTTAAATAATTTGTATCATTGACTTTCTTTAATTCCTTTTTTATTCATTCATATTGTTTTCCAACAATGTCGACTGTTAACAATGTTGTTAAAACCTAGTTAAGTTAGTAAAATTTTCACGGTCAGTAGCTTTATATGACAGAATGATATTTACAAAGAATTAATAAAAATAAAATCATATATGACCAGCAGCTGAAACAAAAACAAAACAAACATTATTTTTTTTCTTTCTATTAAACAAGTACATAAATGCATAATTAAATAAAAAATGAAGGAACAAATAAATGAATAAATGGAAACTTACATTTGAGTTTCTTCTGACTCAGAAGTACTGGTCGTTTCATCGGTAGTTTGGTCACCTGCAAGTTCACCGTCCGTACAACTATCCGAGTCACTGTATCTATTGGTCAAAGCATTTAAATTGTTAGCTGGGAGGTGATTAGGTACAAAACGGCTTCCCCTTGCCATCGGAGGTGAAGGGGCGTCACTTTCATCCTGGGTATTGTTATTGTTGCTAACATCCGTGTCCACGTTATCACTAAAAGCCCGGTATGTCTCAGTTTCCTCCCCGCTGTCCGAATCGGGCATGGTTACACCTATATTGTGATCGTTATCAGCGTAAAGATCGTTTCTGTCATTCATAATTTTCCAGTGATTTATTTATCACAGTTTTGAATGAATTCATTATTAAACACAAACACACACATAAAATTTGAAATCTATTTTAAAATTCATTCAAAATTTTAAATTATGATTTTTTTTTCGCGCCATTGGTTAACTGTTATCCGAAAAGAATAATACACAAAGGCGGTACTGTATCACTACAAAAACTTTTGTATTCAATTTCCAGCACAGTGGAGACCAGATTTTGAACGACCCCAGCTCATCAACTAAATTGAGGCACGTCAAGGGTTAATCCAATGGTAAATTAAGACGGACACTTCTTAACACACACTAACTTGTTGATTTTCACAACTTAACATCTGACACGCTTCGCCTTGAGGTCGTTTATAGTTGAAAACAAATAGTCTTTATGCCGTTCTAAAATAACAGATGTTGAAGCGAGACATCAAACGCGTGTTTTCTCCTCTATGGTAATTGCAAATATCAGTAACAAAATGAAAACAGTCTTTTATAAATAAGTAATGTATTAGCAAAGAGAGTGAGTAATGCGGGGAACCACGTGTGAAAGATGTTTTGAAATGGATTCCTGAAATCAACAACATAAACATAAACATTGCTATCGATCTATGACAAAGTATTGGAAAACTATTGGAAATATACAATAATTGATGATTCATCGTCCATCGGAATCGAGGGAAATCCACGGAATCATAGATCCCGTCATAGATGTATGTGGTCATTTGCAGTGGGCGAATTTTACATTACTATTGAGTAAATTAACAATTCATAATGACCTCGTCACAGTTAGTATAGTCAGCAATTAATATATTGAAATCAACATTTATAACCGGCTGTTTTTGACTGATCGAATATTTATGCTATATAAAAAAAAAATGGCCAGTTTTATTTTATGTTGATTTAACCGTTTGTAATAATTCACAAGAATTTCAAACTTCTAGCTTGCATGGAATATTAATAGTGATGGATAAAGTCTAGAGTTCATTAAAAAAATATTGTACGAAATACATTTTTTTTAACAGGCAAGTATTTTCAAGACGCCGGTAACTGTTTTTGTAAAAGATAGGCAGCGGAATGGAATGGAGTACACTGATGAAAACTCATCAACCAACATTGTTTAAAAGCTCCGGAAAAAGCGTAAGGCGCAATATAAATGTGTCTATCTAGCCCATATGAAGCGTAGGGAGAATAAATGGAAGAGAAAAAGTTCTTTTAGACAAAGATGGTGCGGTGTCAACTTTTCTCTCAGAAAATGCGACATTACTTGAGTAGAATTTATTCATTAATAATATTTTACGTTCAACATTTCTATCAAAATGTTGTAATAATTCCAGCATTTTTACCTTTGACCTGAACATCGTGCACAACGTTTTAGCATTTCTACACAAATAAATATACAAATATATATATGAATATCTTAACCCTATGCTGATTGCGTTGCTGTCTCATTTTCTTTTATCCCACAACTTTTTATACGGACATTTGTTATTTATACACGTTATTATATAATAATTTACAAAAAACATTATAAAATATGAAAGTTATTAAAAAATGTATTAATATTCCATTATCTCGTAACTTGTTTTACAGAAGAACATAATGCATACAGGTAAATGTAAGAAATTTGTATCTTTTGGCCTCGAGTTATTTTCTATTTATTCAGTTTTTAATGAAATAAACTGTAATCCCCTTTCCATTAAGATAAAAGGTTCCTTTACATAATAAACCACACGCCATAATAAATGATGTTATAAAGCTAGATAAAAACTGCTGATAGCAGATAAACAAAATATTTACAAATCATTATTTATTTCCGCTGCTAATACGCAAGTACAAAGAAAAAACAAGGGGGCCCCGTGTCGATTTATATTCAAAAGTTATCAGTGGTAAATATCCTTTCTTGTATTTGACCTACTTGACGACAACCCCATTTCCTCTATAAACGATCCACGGAGGAAGGTCTGGATGGGGTCTCTCATCTCATTTGTAGCAGTTCAGTGTTTATGTTGTTCCATTGTTTTCCTCTTATAGTTGATGTGTTTTCCTCGGTTTTGGCTTTTGACCCGGATTTGTTTCAGTTAAATCGATTTATGACTATTGACCAGCGGTATACTACTGTTGCTTTTATTCGTTTCTTAATTTATTCTTTAATTTTTTTTACCAATTTTGTCTATTCTTTATATATTTTGTCTTTTATTCTCGATTCTTTATATATTTTGTCCATTTTTCTCTATTCTTTATATTTTTAAGCACCCCAATATTCTCTATACTTTATACTTCAGCACCGCATTATTCTCTGTTCTTTATTTTTTTTAGCTGTTTTCCTCTTTTCTTTCTTTTTTTAGCCCATTTTTCTCTATTCTTTTATTTTTTTATCCATTTATTCTGCCCATTTTATCCATTATTCTCTATTCTGTAAACCCCATCCATACCCTGATGGAGGAACATGCATATTCATTCATTATACCTTTACGATTGAATGTACAAACTCGGGGAAATTTAAGTTAAAGAAAATAATTAACATATAACTGTATCTGCAATTATTTCGTAATTATTGACAATCATGAAAGTCAACATTTATCTGTTCCATGATCTTTTTTTGCCATTAGGATTTCTATCACGTTGAATGCGTTATTGTAAGGCGTCTTTCCGGCCGCCGGTTACGACTTCTCATTAGATTTCAACACGAGAAACACGACGGTTGCCATTACTTGAGCAGAACATTCTGACCCTACCAGAGCAATCGAGTTCACGCCTTGTATTTGTTTGGTATTTGGGATTGGGATTGCTCAATCTTTTTTCAATCAATTTCTGTGACACGTTTGCTGGACAGTTGTTTACCTTTTCATCTGATATCTTCTGACCATGGTATTGTCCATTATTCTTTGATTGATTGATTGGTGTTTAAACGCCACTTTCAACACTGTTGTGCTATTTCGTGGCGGTCAGTTTATATTGGTGGAGGAAGCCGAAGTGCCCGGAGAGAACACCGACCGTCGGTAGGAAAACTGACAATCCTAGTCAATTAAGATTGCAGTCGAGCTTACCTGCCACGTGCGGGATTCGAACTTACAACCTCAGTGTTGACAGGCTAGTGAAACAGTAGTTCGACTACTTAGACCACTCGGTCACCGAGGCCCCTTGTTATTCTTTGACTTATGGTAATGATTTCTCCCTTAATATCGTCTTATGTTTTTGGAATTACATTTTCTAAACGAAAGAGGCGCGAAAATAAAAAAAAGGAAAAAGTTAATTTTAGAAAGCAGTTGTGGCAAAGTTTGATCTCGACATTCCAAGTCATAAACGCCATGCATCATCTATAACACATAATAACATAATATCGAATAGTCATTTAAACCAGAGCGAGGGGGCTCTGATTGTATATTTTTATTCGGTTAACAAAATTAACAATAGGTTATAAGCCACCTGTTGCAGGTGCGGATCCAGCCATTTTAAAAGGGGAAGGGGGTGTTCCAACCCAGGAGAAAGCGGGGGGGGGGGGGGGTTCCAAATATATGTCCCCATTCAAATGCATTGATCGTCAAAAAAGGGGGGTTCCAACCTTCATTTCTTTATTCTTTAAATTTTTAGACCCCATTTTTCTCTATTCTTTATATTTATTTTGCCAATTATTCTCTGTTCTTTATTTATTTTGCCCAGTATTCTCTTTTATTTATTTTTCAGCACTCCATTGTTCTGTATTCATGCTTAAATTTTTGTTGCCTATTTTTCTCTATTCTTTATTCTGCACTTTTTGCCCATTATTCACTTTTCTGTAAACCCCATTTAGACCCTCTAGTATTGGTGATAATTTTTGCATTTTACAGTTTCTGTCAATCTGATTAGAAATCCTGGTTAGGGTGGAGAGTATCCTAGCGAAAACTAACAGCTGATTTTAATGAGATTGAGCTTCTGTCTGTCTACTAAAGATTTTGCCTAAAACGCAAAATATTAATATTAAATCATAATTTAAGGTCAATAATTTGTTAAGGAGTCATCCAATGTCAATGGTCTAGTTATATTGGCATTTTTGTAGATCTTGTACTGCTAATCAGTTTTGCTATTACAATTTCTACTAATATACTTTAGTTTTCGAGATAATTGGCAAAATAAAAAAATTGTCAAAAATTGTCATTTTAGGTAAATAACTCCTATAAAGAGACATTCAAGAAATTTAGTAGAAAATTGTCATTTAAGGGCAATAACTCAATAGGGAGTCATCCAATGGTTTTAGTTATAATGGCATTTTTGTTGATCTTGTATTTTGATTATTTTTGCTATTTACATTATTTAGTTTTAAAAATAAGACATAGACAAAAACACGAAAATCAGTTGAAAATCATCATTTTTAAAGGACAGGATCCAATATTTTGAGAAGGGGGGGATGAGGCCTATGCCCCAAACTAGGCAACGTTTGGAGTGGGACATGTAAAAAATCTATGCTTTAACCATATATGCAGCTCCATTAAGTGGGGGCAGGGCTCCCTAGTCCCCCAAATCCGCCTCTGATTACTGATCATTTTTGCAGATAACAATTTCTACCTATCTATTCAAATTTTTAATGTGATAGGCAAAAACATGAAATTGCCAAAAAAATGTCATTTAAAGGCAATGACTTCGTTAATTTTGATGAAAATAGGAAGTAGTAGATCTTGACATTCTGAGCATTTTTGCCCCTGTCAGATTGAGGTTTTCAAACTACAAGACAATTAATGCATTTCAAACAGAGTATTAATGAAGTCCAGAGTTGATTAAGGATTCTAGAAAATGGAAAGGTTCATACTCTGCTTTTACCTTCATGTTCTTTTTTTATTCATGGGCCAATCATGGCAGCCATGTTTGTTGACTGACCAAAATAGAAAAAAAAACACAAATTATATATAAAGATCACACACATCAAATCTGGTTAAAATTGGTTCAGTAGTTTCTTCAGAGAAGATCTTTGAAATAGTTTACTACAGATTCGAAGTTATGGCAAAAGCTCAAATGATCTTTTAGGCAAGGATGACTAAAAGGGATAGGACTCTTTTTTCAAATTTTTATCTTTAAAAAAAATAAAGAGATTTCCTCAGCATACCTGCATATATACTCATTACAAGGTATGTTAATTCTATTGTACATCTTGCTGGACAAACAACTTAACTCATCCTAAGGTCCAACTGCAGTATAGAATACATTCAACTGGAATTCACCTGCAAAACAGCAGAAGCATCCTGAGAGGCCCTCATTTGGCCTGGCAGAATGTATAAATGGAGAAGTAAAATCTGATACCTTGTGTTGGGAGAGTACCAAGCTCTCTACATGTAAAATGTATGTTAACTGTCTAGACACTTGTCTATTATTATTAAAGACTGTGTCCGTCCTGAAAAGGTTTTTTTTTTTTGTGTGTCTATATCTTGGTCTCCTATTATCCATATGCTGTAAACTAATAAAGTTTTCCCAAATTACGCAAGCAGAATATAACCTGAAAATAATTTGCCACAAATATGTGACGTCACAATCTTCTGTTATATGAATACATCAACAAGGTATGAAAATAAATCGCCACGAGGTTTGCTAAAAAGTGCTCAAACCATCAACAAAAATATTGGCAAAATTTATTTAGTTTAATTATCCAAACACCTTCTATCACTATTACGAGCAGTTAAACAGATGATTCTACTACAGCAAGACTTGAGTAAAACTAAAGAGCTGCGCCATGAGCACATGATACGCCTGTCCCTTTTTCAACAAATAAAGTTCCATTACTCCTCAATGTCATATCAGAAATTTATTAAAAACTAAAGGGAGATTATTTTAATAGATATAAACCAGTCACCAAAGTTTCATGAAAAATGCTCAAAGCATTTTTGAGAAATTGTCCGAAAACTGGAAAATCCTTCTTTTTTTTATGAATAAAATCTCATCTCAGAAACGTAAAATCTAAAATTTATAAAAATTGAAAGGGAGCTTACGTCAATAGATATAAACAATTCACCAAAGGTTCATGAAAATTGGTTGAATCATTTTTGAGTTATCAACAAACGGACAGATGGACAACGGTATACCATAATACGTCTTGTAAACAGGCATATAATAATAAAGTGTGTTTATGGCAATATCAACCAGACATTAACACACCTTACAGAGATGTAGAATTATCCAAATATAGCTAAGAAATCTGTTTAAGGGACAAATATAACTTGTTTTTGCTCCTTGATGAAGGCCTCAACGTGGCCTTGAATTGAATAACAGTGCAGTTCCTTTGCTTGACTTGTCTCAAAGATTAGACAAAAACAGTGATAATGTTTTCAAGTTTTTTTAATCTAGTTGGTCTTAAGTTTACCATTTATTTTTTATTTAATGATCAGGGGATCTCTTGGCCATGTGATCTATGTAGTTTAACTACTGTATTACTGTAAATTGGAAGATTTATGCACCGTCTTTTTTTCTCAATTTGTGACTGAATTTAAATTTGCGCCTCTTTAAATTCAGGATTTCATGCTGGAATTTTTTTATGTTCAGTCTTAGACCTATGAATCCAGCTCCAATGAAATATTCACAGTAGTTTTATTTTCAGGAATCTACTATTACCATGAAAATAGCGAAAATAAAACTGCTGCAAAAATTTCCCTGTTTACAGTACTAGTCTGTCAACACTGAGGTTGAAAGTTTGAACCCCATACGTGTAGGAGTGCTCGACTATAATCTTAATTTACGAAGATTGTCAGTTTTACTGAAGAAGGTCTGTGGTTCTCTCAGGGCACTCTGTTTTCATCTACCAATCAAAACTGGCTGCCTGAAAAAAGCCACTGTGTCGAAAGTGGCATTTAACACTAAAAATCAATCAATCAGAATATTTTATGATCATACACAAAAACTTAACAAAAATTCATCATGATTAAGTAGAATCTGTTATATTTTTTCTTAAGATTGTTCAACAATACAAGGTTTTTACTATCATTAAAAATAACAATGTTCAAATGTGATGAAATGTGTTTTGTCCTTTAAAGAAGAATGACTCCATTAATATGCCATCAATGTCTGCAACAGTTTGTGTCTTGCTTCTTTGGACTTTTCCAATAATGGATGAGGTCTAAAATAGACAAAAAATGTTGTTAACGCTAGATTATCCCTTTTACAATAGTTCATTACTTTCAAATAATATATCAAGTTGAGCACTTCATGCTTAATGTATAGATATAGATTTTCATTGACAAGACAGTGATTGACATAATTTGAGTTGGAGTTATTTCCCTTTGGTGGCCAGATTGATTTTCTTATTTGACAAACCAAGTTTTAACATGTTGAACAAGCAGGTCTGAAAAAAGATCTGTACTATATTATAGTGATGAATTAAACAAGGGTTAAACAGATCAAAATAGATGTGAAGTCTAAAGTCTAGAGGTAACAATTACAAGTTGAACAAGCATTCTATGAGTATTGCCTGGCAATACATAGTCCCCTACTGGTTAAAAATTCATTGTACTGGAATAAAATGCTATAAACTTGATCTATAACTTGTCATGGTGTAAACTCTATAACAAGTATCAAGTCAATATCTTCAAGCATGGCGAAAAAAATGTGGAAAATTGATTATTTGAGTTAATTTTCTAAGTCCAAGGACCATAACTCTGCACAAAATCATCAGACAGGACATAAATTCGAACTTGATCTGTAACTTGTCATGATAAAACTATTTATTACATTGGTTGCAATGAATTACATTGATTTCCCAGTCAAATAAAAACCGATAATTTCACATGTGAAATAAACGTGGTTATTTCACTCCTCTGACGTCATACAACAATAGGCGTTGTCAAGACGTCGATAACGTCAGATCAAAACAAATTGTGAATGCGTAGAAAAAGATATAGTTCCTTACATTTTCTACTTTAATTTCATAAAAAAGCCATTTGCCAATGTAATAAAAAGAATAACTAATCAAAGAATTCAAATATCAAAAAATATTCAACTCGTGACCGAACAACACTGATAATTAACTCATGCGCTACGCGCATTTGTGAATTAATGTGTTGTTCGGTCACTCGTTGAATATTTTTCTCTATTTGAATTCTTCGATTAGTTATTCTATAAATACCAATCATTAAATCTATATCTTCAAGCATGACAATAAAAAAAGTGTGGAAAACTGATTATTTGAGTGAATTTTCAAAGTTCAAGGACCATAACTCTGCACAAAATCGTCAGACTGGAACAAATTTCGAACTTGATCTGTATCTTGTCATGATAAAACAATACAACAAATATTAAATCAATATCTTCAAGCACGAAGAAAACATGTGTGTAAAACTGACTTGCCGGACTGACGGATGGACAGACAGACAGACGGAGTGCAAACCTAATGTCCCCTTAGACTTCGTTGGTAAGGGACTAATTAGGCTGTTTTGTGAAGGAATATGTGTACATTGCCCTACAACATGGCAGCATAAGGAAACAATTCCAGCTCAAATAATGTCAATGGAAAACTATCTATTGTTTTGTGTATATCCAATACTCTCTGACTTGTAGTGTCTCTAAAAGTTAAAGGTAAGAACAAAATATTTTTCCAGCTGTTAATATTACACATGTATAAAAACAAAATACATCAATTTGTTCTTCTTTTTTTCTTTTATCTTGTAGAATGCATACATACAAGGAACCAGTTTCATTCTGCAAGTACTGGTTTTCTCAATCAGGATTTATATAAATCTGCTTTTCAATATAATCTTAATTTTGCTGTTTGCATTAAAATAAAAGATAGCTTACTTGCTCATAAACATAGATAATATTTCTCTGGAAAACTTTGGGAAGAATGGCTGCTTGACAAGATGCTCTAACACTAACAGAGGTCCCATTAATGTACTAGGTGGTTTGTACTTTTTATCTTCACCCTGAAATAAAACCAGTTGATAGTTTTATCAACAAAACTAAAGCTATTCACAACTCAAACTTACTTAAATGTGCTAAAAAGTGGCAGATCCTTTGGGGGCCAAGGGTGTACACCCCCAGCCCCCACCTTTTGATCACCCCAATAAAATATCTACCTTTTCTCATGATTTATTTGATATTTTAACAATTGTTTTGGTTCAGTATATGTTACGTTTTCTGAAACTAGGCCCTTTTCAAAAATCATGGATCCGCCCCTGCTAACAAAAAGAAAGGAATTCATGTTTAATGTTATGGTATTAATGTTTAAATTCTAATCATAACCTGCATTCAATGTTGATTGAATTTGTGAAAAAAACTCAAACATGCAGTTAAAAAGATTGAGAATTTTTTATATTTGTCACGATTTATTTTTTTACCATTTTACATCTATTTGGTGTGCACAAAATTACTCCAATATTACGTTGGTTGTGGAGGGATTTTGGGAGTCCCTTCCTCCCCTACAACATCTATGTTAATGAAATAACTGTAAAGGAACATACAATATGTTGTAATCCAATTCACAATTAAAACAACATCCACTTATGAGTCAGATGGCATTGTTTCATGTCCAAAACAACTCAAAGTCAGACGGACATTTTCCAATCAATAATTCATGTTACCTCTATTTGGATGATGATAGATGGCTGTTTAACCTCCAGTGGCAAATTCATGCATATTCAAGATAAGAACATGCTTTAATATGCTATGAATATTAACCCTTCTTTGTATTAGATAGACATGCAGTTATTTTTTTTTTAGCTAGTTCACAAAGTATACGGCTGCACAATGACATGTCACCCCACCCAGACTTTGCTCTTACTCCTTAATGCTGCATCTAAGCAGAGAGGCAGCAAACAATAATTTCTAAGTCTTTGGTTTGACCTGGCTAGGGTTCGAACCAATGACCTTCCACACTTGAGGCAAACATCTTACCACAAGACCACAGGGGTGGTATTTCTATTTACATCTTACTAATATTTACCTTCAATATTCCCATACTGACCAATATACTGTTAGCTAACATTGAAGCTGTGTTATTTTCACTTTTTAATGTCTCCTCTATAAGTTTTTCTGGAATACAGATTATCATAACGTTATAAAAATTAGCAAATAAACAGACATATTTGACAGCATAAAGTACACTACAGTAGTGAAAGAACTGGCTTTATTTTGCCTAAAAATAAAAACGTCTTTAGTGTTTTTAATATTTTGTTCTCTAGCATTGCCAGATAAAACAGTGTCTGTGTCTCAACTCAAGATATACATGTTTTCTTAGGGGCCAAATAAGAATACACAGAATGACAAATCTAAAACCACATACATTATAGACAGGTCTCCAGCCTTGGGCATTAGAAATTTCATCTCCTGACTACAGCCTTACATCAAGCAATTCAAAACGAATAAAAATACAAATTTTTATCTTACAAAATATTATAACTTTTGACATAGAATTTCATGTTGAGTGAGTATAATATATTCTTTTTTTTAATTCCCCAGAAGAACTCTTTATCAACATGGCTGTGTTTATTCACTGACCTGCACATTCACAAACAGAATCTTTTGTGTCTACATCATCCTTTGTAACAATCGAGGAAATCTACAAATCATATAAAATAAATAGGCCGTTAGTTTTCTCAGTTGAATTGTTTCATTTTTTCATGTCGGGGCCTTTTATAGCTGACTATATGGTACGGGCTTTTCTCATTGTTGAAGGCCATACGGTTGCCTATACATTGTATTTGCTTAAATCTACTTCTTTGAACTATGGTGTATAGTGTCTTTTGGGCAATCATACCACATCTCCTTATTTTTATATAGACCTTTATAAATATTAATTACATTATAAATGAAGTAAAAACATATAATTATTAGCATAGGAAAGCACATAGTAACAATAATGAGTGTGCAAAATAAAATAGAATTCTCACATGTCAGCAAGAGCCCTACACACAATTGGTATGCAGCACACACAAAAAAACGGTAAATTTAGAAACTATTGCATTCATTTATTATTGTGATAAGAACATCAAGACCAAAATGTGAGAATAATCATTGCAATTAATGGAAAAACTGCACACAATTATATATGTTAGATGTCAGAATGTGAGTTCTTTACATTGTGATAATCAACCAGTCAAATTATTCACAAAAATTCGCAAGGGTTCCGTGGAACACAGTGTCTCGCCTTCTTTTTCTGTTAATCGCAGGCTCAACAAAAATGAGGAAGTAAATCAATAAAAATATTCCTCTTGATACTTTCTTTTGATTGTAAGAAGCTTCTGTCCAAGTTTGGTAAAAATCCAGGATAGTTTATGAATCTAATAAATGTTTAAAAACTTTAACTGCAGACTGAATGTAATGTTAACTGGAAGAAAACAAAATTTCCTTCTAGATACTAGCATTTGATCATAAACAAGTTTCTGTCCAAGTTTGGTACAAATCCAAAATAGTATAAGAAAGTTATTAAAATTTTAAAAACTTTAACCACAGAGTGAATATGTTGTTTCCCAGCAGAAAATCTAAGTCCATTTGAAAGTAAAATACAGAAAAAATGGATTTATTTTTTTACAAAATTTCCTTCTAGGTACTAGCTTTTGATCATAAACAAGCTTCTGTCCAAGTTTGGTACAAATCCAAAATAGTTTAAGAAAGTTATTAAAATTTCAAAAACTTTAACCACAGAGTGAATATTTGTGGACGCCGCCGCCGACGACGCCGACGGAATGTAGGATCGCTATGTCTCGACAAAAATGAAAACCTTGCAATAATTTCTGAATTTACAGTAATTAATACTGATGCAAATTAAACAAAGCAATACATGATTTTCGAGTATGAAACTGTAGTTTTGTGACAAATTATATACACAATTTGCATTGATTTAAAAGCCATTCCATCTTGAAATAGAGCCCAATAAATATTTTGAAAATGGGAGCAAACAGAAAATATCTAACACAAAAATAAATTCATAATATGAAATTCTACCTAGATATCATATTTCCAAGCGCTTTGAATGTTTACGTAGTGTTGCAGCTATTTTGAAAATGGTGGCAGACAGTCAAATTTAAGTAAAACAATATGCACATCTACATATTATTCACAACAACTGTACAAAATTTCCTTTTCCGTTTAAAAATTAATTACAGACTAAGACAAAAAAACTAAACTAGAGGCTCTCAAGAGCCTGTGTCGCTCACCTGTATTTACTGATGCTTTGGAAATCATGTAAAATAAGGTTAAAATCATAATAAATAGTATTAGATATTAGATATTATAATGATATCAAAGATAATAACAAAAAACTGCAAAAGTTTTGTAAAATTACTAACTCAGGGGCAGTAACCCAACAACAGGTTGTCGGATTCGTCTGAAAATTTCAGGGCAGATAAATCTAAATCTGATGAACATTTTTGCACCTGTCAGATTTGCTCTAAATGCTATAGTTTCAGAGATATAAACCAAAAACTGCATTTTACCCCTATGTTCTATTTTTAACCAAGTCGGCCATGATGGTTGGAAGGCGGGGTCATCGGATAAATTTTTTAAACTAGATACCCTAATAATGATTATGGCCAAGTATGGTTAAATTTGTCTCAGTAGTTTCAGAGAAGAAGATTTTTGTAAAAGATTACCAAAATTTACGAAAAATTGTTAAAAATTGACTATTAAGGGCAATAACTCCTAAAGGGGTCAACTGACAATTTTGGTCATCCCAACTTATTTGTAGATGTTACTTTGCTGAACATTATTGCTGTTTACAGTTTATCTCTATCTATAATAATATTCAAGATAATAACCAAAAACTGCAAAATTTCCTTAAAATTAGCAATTCAGGGGCAGCAACCCAACAACAGGTTGTCAGATTTGTCTGAAAATTTTAGGGCAGATAGATCTTGACCTGATAATCAGTTTTACCCTCTTTCAGATTTACTCTAAATGCTTTGGTTTCAAAGATATAAGCCAAAATCTACATTTTACCCCTATGTTCTATTTTTAGCCATGGTGGCCATCTTGGTTGGTTGGTGGGGTCATCAGACACATTTTTTAAACTAGATTCCCTAATGATGATTGTTGCCAAGTTTGGTTAAATTTGGCCCAGTGGTTTCAGAGGAGAAGATTTTTGTAAAAAGCTAACGACGGCGGACGACGGACGCCAAGTGATGAGAAAAGCTCACTTGGCCCTTCAGGCCAGGAGAGCTAAAAAAGGTCTCCCCTGTCCTTGATGCAAGGTCCTTATCAAGTGGTTTACAACGGAAAAAATATCATGTAGACAGGATATCACAAATATCTGAAACACTCAATAATGTTAAATTATCAAAGCAGCACAATGCGTTTTAGAACAATTTTTTTTTTTAAAAGACATCATTAATGATCATATATATCATACCTAAGACAATACTTGCTATTATTTTTTATGAAAGGTAAGCAACAACAAAAAATGTATCCAAAAAGCAACAGAGTATAATACAATCTGTAAAAACTTCTTTCATTCTTAAATCTTACCCTGAGAAATGTCTGCACTACTTTGTCTAAATCTGTGATTTCATTCTGTAAATACAAAAAAACAAAACAAATCTACAGCTTAATTTGAGTAAGAGTTTATTTTTTTCTTAGGTGGAATCATGAGCTCTTTACTAGCTATCTAGAAAATATAAAAACATCAAAAGAACAGCGTTCCAATCACATATTCTATCTGTCCAAGAACAATAACTCTAATACATTCTATTTTTGTTCATACAGACTTTTTCATAAAAATCTGACATGAAATGTAAGCCTGAGATCACTCACAAACCAATTTTTAATATCATTTATATTTCCAAGGGGAATAACTCCTGTAAATGGTTCATTTGCACTGATTATCAAACTTTACTCAATTTTGATTGGCTAACAAAGTAGAAGACAACAATATTATACAGATTTCAAAATTCTTGTATCTGTTTAACATACAAATCATATTAAACTATAATGATGATATTAAATGAACTCCAAACAAAATAGACTGGGTACTTCCACAGGGTAAGCTATGAATGCCTCACTCATCATGCCAATCAAAACAGTGTCAAAATGTCACATTTAGGAATAGGACACAATTGTTAAATTTTCAGATCAGACGACTTCTAGTATAATAAAATATGCCAAGAAAACATTTCTCTCTTGAGCGAAGACACAGACATATCATACTGATCAACCAATTTGTGATGTTGACTGTAAAACTTGTGTAGTGTCAATTTCAGAGGTCCGTGCTTGTGTCTTTTTATGTTGTAATGTTATACCACTGTTTCAGGTTAGGCTGAAGGTTGGTGCCTGTTAAAACATTTAAGCCCGCTGCATTTTTATGCACCTGTCCTAAGTCAGGAGCCTATTGTTCAGTGGTTGTCGTTTGTTGGTGTGGACCATAAGTGTTTCTCGTTTTTGATATAGATTAGACCGTTGGTTTTCCTGTTAGAATTGTTTTACACTAGTCATTTTGGGGCCCTTTATAGCTTGCTGTTCACTGTGAGCCAAGGCTCTGTGTTGAAGGCCGTACTTTGACCTATAATTGTTTACTTTTTACACATTGTGACTTGGATGGGGAGTTGTCTCATTGGCACTCATACCACATCTTCTTATTTATATTGAGTTTTTGTGATAAGAGCACGTCCTTGTTAATAAAGTCCATATAATAAAGGTGCATAACGTATATTTGAGTTATATAAACACCATGCAATGAGGCAGAGGGTATGTTACTTCATTTTTGTACTCAGAAATGGAATATTGAAACTCATAAAACAGGTCAAAAAATTATAATATTGATTTCTTGATCAACCTACAAATCAAGCAAACAAAAATTGAATGTTCTTCATATGCAATCTGATAGTTTTAAACTGCAAATAATACAGTTGAAATGAAAGATATTTGTAAAGTTTAATTATAGGATGCTAGTCCCTATAGTTAAAATAAGCTCCCATGCCCATAAACATAATGGATAGCAGAGCGTTTAGCTTCCTACAAAATTTTGAATAAATATTATTACATTATTCTGATGAAGCTTGGTGCCCTATATCAAGAAACTATTAAGAAGTTGCTGAGAATAATACGACAGAGATAGCAGAGACACATGTTACTGACAGATGGACAGAGCACCCCTCCTTTGCAGCAGGGGTATAATAAATATATATTAAAAGAAATTTGAGGGTAGATGTCAATCAGGTAGCAACTCTGTAATTTTATAAAAACAAGAGTGCACACGCTGAAAAGTCTCGCCTTCTTTACTAATCATTGATATTATGTTGATAGTCCTAAATATAAAGCTTTATTACAACTGTCACATAAACTTAACATTAACCAAGTAAACTAAACATTGACCAATGAACCATGAAAATGAGGTCAAGGTCAGATGAACCATGCTAGGCAGGCATGTACAGCTAACAATTCTTCCATACTACAAATTTAACTGACCTATTGCTTATAGTTTAAGAAAAACAGACCAAAACACAAAAACTTAACACTAAGCAATGAACCTTGAAAATGAGGTCAAGGTCACATAAAACCTGCGTGACTGACATTTAGATCATAAAATATTTTCATACACCAAATATAGCTGAACTATTGCATATAGTATTAGAAAAACAGACCAAAACACAAAAACTTAACTTTGACCACTGAACCATGAAAATGAGGTCAAGGTCAGATGACACCTGCCAGCTAGACATGTACACCTTACAATCATTCCATACACCAAATATAGTAGACCTATTGCATACAATACAGGAAAAACAGACCAAAACACAAAAACTTAACTATAACCACTGAACCATGAAAATGAGGTCAAGGTCAGATGACACCTGCCAGCTAGACATGTACACCTTACAATCATTCCATACACCAAATATAGTAGACCTATTGCATACAGTATAAGAAAAACAGACCAAAACACAAAAACTTAACTATAACCACTGAACCATGAAAATGAGGTCAAGGTCAGATGACACCTGCCAGTTGGACATGTACACCTTACAGTCCTTCCATACACCGAATATACGAGACCTATTGCTTATAGTATATGAGATATGGACTTGACCACGAAAACTTAACCTTGTTCACTGATCCATGAAATGAGGTCGAGGTCAAATGAAAACTGCATGACGGTCATCAGGACCTTGTTAGGTACGCACATACCAAATATAGTTATCCTATTACTTATAATAAGAGAGAATTTAACATTACAAAAAATCTTAACTTTTTTTTCAATTAGTCACTGAACCATGAAAATGAGGTCAAGGACATTGGACATGTGACTGACTGAAACTTCGTAACATGAGGCATCCATATACAAAGTATGAAGCATCCAGCTCTTCCACCTTCTAAAATATAAAGCTTTAAAGAAGTTAGCTAACGCCGCCGCTGCCGCCGCCGCCGTAGCCGCCGCCGCCGGATCACTATCCCTATGTCGAGCTTTCTGCGACAAAAGTCGCAGGCTCGACAAAAAAATCATTCAAGATCGACATCTAGTAGAATTGAACATATTATCTTCAACATTAAATAAGTATGTCAAACTCTAAATTACGAGAATCTTACTGTCTACCTACCCCAAGTTCTTGTATTAAGTTTTCAGCTTTTTGTCTTCCCATTTGTTTAAGTTTCTGTGGTGATGGAAACGCCAGGAAATCTTTAGCAGATACAGCCTAAAAATAATATTAGCATGATTTAACAGATGTGGCAGACTTATCACTGACAGAATATTGGATATGTTTGTCAAATCTCTCATTTGAAATCATGAAAGGTGCTTACTTAAAATCAAAACTACTGTCAACTCATTTTCGCAAGCGATTTATTTTCCCAGCTTTCCCCAAGTAGAAAAATAACGTAATGTATAAATGGTCGTGAATATGTAAAGCTTGGATCTTTTCTTATCTAACTACATCAAGTAAATTGGAAAATCGTAAAATTATATCGATGTGAAGGAGGCATAAAAGGGCTAAATACGAAATAAAGTATCTGCGAAAATAAGTTGGTTTATTGTAAATTAACCATAACAATTTTTAGCCACTAGTGTTTTGACACTTTCATTTTCATATTGCTTTGGACCTCTTAAATTACTGACACAAACATGCTTAATTACAAATTTTTTGGGGGTAAATAAGATTCAAGTTCCAAATAAGTACTCCTGGAAAACAAATTAAATGATGTACATTTTAGTGATAATAAAATCAACATTATAGTCAGCATGTTCTTGGGAAAATCCTTTCAGGTATGCTACCGTCTTCACAAAAATGGAAAATTCACTTTAGTGAACAAACTGAATTAGGCACAAGTCTATTAAACTTTAACAATTGAATAATTTACCTATCAAAATAAGAGTACAAAAAAGGGATAATGTCTGAAGCAATTAAGCTACGATTCCTGTAACATAATTTGTAGTTAGTATTTGCTTCACAACAACTTTTTTTTCTGCTTATGTGATCTTTTTTAATGCTTCTGACTTTAAAAAGATGGGCTGTCTCTTCCGAATTTTTCCTGTTTTGTATACATGAGTTTAACTAAAGCTATCTGAGCTGGCAGTACAGACTTTTGTTCAAAATTGGAAGATTGTAGTGACTCAGAAATATTCACAGTCTTGTCCTCTAGTCTTCAGTTAGTTTTTCTCTCAATTGCAATCATATAAACCCTGGTATTACTTTATTTATATAATAATCGATTAATAAATATCCAGAATGTAAACTGTTGTTGAAGATTGTTTATTGCCCACTAGATGTCTTTTAGTTGCTCTGTCATAAAACTATTTAAAGCATAACAGTGTTTTAAAATACGAGTGAATAACAATACAAAGGCACCACACCAGGCATTATGATCCAAAACCGTGGACAGAGGGATCTAAATACCGAGGAGCAATTCATAAAAGTTTGTAATGGTAGGCAAGTAAAACTAAAAAAACACATCTTTGTAGGTCAACCTGAGTAAAGTTATTGATCACTTACCTTCTGACAAATAACTGCGATGAAAGAATATTTGTATTCTTCAGGAGGCATTTATTGTACGATGCTACACTTGTCATTCCGTTTAACTTTTCTTCCCATAATGCAAATGTTTGTTTTTAGAAGCCATTTTTGTTGTTATGGGGATTCTGACACAAGCATTTTCAGCATAAACATTGATATTATATTCTAGGATTCCCCAACAATTTGTCTGTAAACTGATCTTAATATCAAATAAGCAGCTACAACACATTATGACTTCACATTTTGTTCGTGAAATTAAGTGTGTTAGGTGTGTTTCATGATGAATGAATGTAATGGACGATAAATATGGCAGGTATATACCTGTTCTTTTTTTAATGGATCGTAAATATGATTAATAGATTAGAGGTAAAGGTCAATGAGACAACAACCCAATGACAGGTGTCTTTACAATATATCAATCTCTAAATGGCCCAGAGACTAAAAGTTGTGAGTAAATTTAACAAGAGACTATCACAGAGGTGCCATCAATACCGTATTCACTAAATGATATCATCTATTGAAATTCAACAGATGATTTATTGATTATCAGTGTTTTAATGCCACCTCCAGCACTATTTGCTAAATCATGGCAGCCAGTTTTGTTGGTGGAAGAAGTCAGAGTGCCTAGAGAGAACATTTGATTTGACTATAACTGGTTAGTGATACAGCAGATGAACTACTTTGAGGCCACCAAGGACCCTTAAAATTTAACAGAAGACAACTGATAATGTTCCCGACTTGGGATAGGCACGTCAATATGGGGTATAATTAAACTAGTTTCTTGAGATCCCATCGTCCTGAAAATGCATGAAATATTTGCCACTGGACGTTAAGCAACCAACAATCAATCAATCTTGAGATCCCAACCTTCCCCTTTTTTTTGACTTAGAACATAAAATAAGTAGGTGCATTAATTGTCTCATTTTGATATAAAAGGAAACTATTGCATTGGGGGATTTTTTCAAATCAGTTAAAATGTTTATGTCCCTACAATCTCAGAACTATTAACAATAACAGACAGATGTGTCAAAAGTTTATTAATGTTATTATGCATACACAGTTTGCCTTGATAAAAAAGTGCAAAAATAGAGAAAAAAACATTGGCACTGTAACATTTAAGTATATAACACCAGTGATATTGTTTGCCTCAAATTACCTCAGAAATACGGCTTTTCCCCCTAAAGAAAATTCCCAATTACTAAATTAAATGGCATAAAATTCCTCCCAAAAAGTTATACATTTTCCCCAAACGGTGATGGCATCTGTAGTAATGTACGTAAATTTCATATTCATGTTATTTTTTTTGATATTATAAGCGCTTTTGAGATCCGGGTTTCTTATTAGAATCATTGCAGTGTTTCTAACACACATGGTTTTCAATGTATTAAGTACCGTAAATTTCTTCGTTTCTTTCCCCTCCCCCAAAAGTTCCTTTCCAGATGAAAATGTCTCACTATTCAAAATATTACATTAAAAAAACTGTTTTAAAAAATTCCCATTTTCCTTAATTTTCCCAAAATAAAAGGGTAGAGGTAGTTTTGAAAAAAGACAACAATATCACTGAACACATCATAAATCGAATGTTAAAATCCTTTCAAAAATCTAATAGAGTTACAAATCTTATCTAATAATGTTTTACTGAATGTATTATAGTTTAAGTATGTGTTTTGACACCAATAAAACATTAAAGTCACATCAGAATGTTCTTTTGACACCATGGTTAAAAATACCATATTCTGAACGAAGGTTTCACACAGTATTAGATTGAACAAATGTTCTACTGTCTAGAAATAATTAATATATGCGTTTGTATTTATTGCCTGAGGTTATGCGTTGTTGGTTTGGTTCCTGACTGGGTCTTACTTTAACGATGTACACCTCTGAGGAGCCAAAAATTTCTAGAATAAAAACGTTTTTTCTAAACCTGATTTTTGGGTTTATATGACTGTAAAAAAATAATTGGTGAAGAAAAAATCATCTGGTGGTGCACTTCTTTTTTTGCTACAGCCATTTGAAAGTACCCAATTTTGATGATTTTCCCATTTTTCATCAATTTTTACCCATTTTTGGGCTATTATCATGAAAAAAATTAAGCTCCACATTTAACTTTTTTTCATACTTTCACTTAAAAGATAAAGTGGACCAATCTGAATAAATTTAACTTAAAAAAACTATGGGTAGGTGTTAATATAAGAAAGTTTTATAAAATTTTGTTGCTTTTTCCTGTCAAATTTACCATGTTGTCAATTTTGTAACTCTGGGATTTTTCATTTTTTCTCCTTTTTTAGAACAAAAAGCATATTATTTCAACTTCTTTGTTATAAATGATTGAAAAAATACCTATCTAAGAAATTTGAAAAGAAAAAATTGATATGGGTTGTACATGTATCTGGTAAAATCATTTCTTGTACCCCTCACCCATTTTCTCAACATTTTGGCTAATGAGACTGACTTGATTGGTTAATTGAAAATTTTATTACTCAATACTACTTATTGTAAATACACAATTTTTTCACAGAGTTAAGTTTGATTATAATATTTTTTAAATTCATTGATATTTTCCTCTTGTACATGTGTATCATATGTTTTGAAAATAATTCCAGAATGAGATTTCAACGAGACTGAAACGTCAGAAGAATACATCCTTAAAAATGGTTTTTGCTGCTTTTCCACCATGAGTGCAGCATTTAATAAGCAAATACTTTCACCCAGAATATAAGTGGCAGATATATATATAGACATTTTTGAAGAGATTTTCAAAGGTTACATGTAGGTTCCAACAAATTAGCCATCAAAAATAATGTGGCTTTGAAGAGATCAAGGGTGGATTTCTACCTTTTTAACATTTAGAGATCATCATGATCAAATAACAACAGAACAGACAAACTACAAAACAGCCACAATAATAACTGATAACTATTAAATTCTATAAATTAAGAAATTTTTATGATGTTTTTATCAATGCAAAAAGTTGTGTCTGACAGGATATTTCACAATTATAAAAACCTCCAAAAAAATTGCAAAAAAATAATTTTGTACTTGTGTCCACTTCAACAATTACAATTATAATGCACACAAAAATTTGTTAATTTACAGTATAAAAATTGTTATTCATGAGTACATTTTTTATGGTTGAAAAACAGTTGAAGTAATAACATTATGGACATCAAATAGAAGATAAGGCTTAATCATGCAAATGAAAAATCAACTGCTTTGATTTCTTTTTTCTTTAAACAGGGTCCTTGGTTTTGTTTTTATCACAAATGCGAGCTTATCGAAAGAGACTAACCAGTAAATCACTCTTTCATGTTGATAGACCATTCTACACATTAAATAAGGGGACAGCCATTTTTAACTTGTGCATGGTTTTGTAGTAAGACAGCGTCACATTTTTGTAATATCATGAACTTTGAGAATATGTTCTACTTCAATATCATGTTTAGTTTAATTTAGAGCACTGAGAATTTTTAATGAAATTTTGGGGCCATGTTTAAACTGACATAAGTTTTTACTCTTGGAATCAATTTGGAATAGCCTTTTAAACTTAATTATCAATTTTTGTTTTAGCACAAAATTAAGTTTCTAAAAATTTCTGATTTTTTAATAAAGGCTAAGATTTACTGATTCTTTTTTTCCAATTGGCATTAAAATTGAAAAAAGTTTTCCTTTTATAGATATAAACCCAGTACATAAAGTTTTTTTTTAATTGGATACGGCAATCTTATCTTACCATAGGACAAAGAATTGCTGATGGACAAATGGACATATGGACAGACCCAGGAATGAAAGACAGATGAGTTATTACTAAAGGGCACTGACGAGGAGTCATTATAATAATTTAATGCCTTTAAAATTCTTGGAGGGAAGTTTAAAAATAAAAAAAATGGGGAATGTGTCCATGGGACACAGATGATACCCCCACTTGCATATAACATTATAAAGGGACATAACATAGGAACGGTAAAAGAGACGCTACCTAAATTCGTACTTGATCTGCGTTTTGTGGTAATAAGCATTGTGCATAAGTTTCATTACATTTGGTTGAGGCAAACTAAAGTTAGAGAGTGGAAACGAAAAATTCAGCAATTTTTCCATTTATAAAGGGGCATAACTCTAGAACGGTAAAAGTGGCGCCATCTAAATTCAAACCTGACCTGTGTTTGGTGGTAATAAGCATTGTGTATAAGTTTCATAACATTTGGGTGAGGCAAACTAAAGTGAGAGAATGGAAACGAAAAATTCAGCAATTTTTCCATTTGTAAAGGGGCATAACTCTAGAACGTTAAAAGTGACGCCACCAAAATTCAATCTTGATCTGTGTTTTGTGGTAATAAGCATTGTGTATAAGTTTCATAACATTTAGTTGAGGCAAACTAAAGTTAGAGAACTGAAACCAATTTTTGGACGTACATACGTACATAGACGGACAAGGGTACAACGTAATGCCCCCTCCGCTACGGCAGGGGCATAAAAAAAACAGAAGCACCCTGAGATCATGTTAGAGAAATAGTTCTACATGTTACATTTAAAATATTCTATCACAGTTTGCTCATTTAAAATAACAGTCAGCAGGAACACAGTTCTATCAAATGCAATTGTGTGACACACTTATGGTCATGTGATCCACACTTAAACAATAAATTTGACATTACATTCAAAATTTAGGTAATATTGTTTATAATTCTTAAACAGAAATTGAACATAGTTATACCAACTCACTTAATTAGAACTTTCTGGTTTTGTTGTAAGATTAACAAACTAGAAAAAAAAAAATTACAATGATAAAAATTGCTACGAAAAAAAAATTAGACCAACCAATATTAATTATAGTAAATATTCAGGGTAAACTTAGACAAACTTTTTCAAAAGTAGTCTTTGTGAAAAACTACATTCGAAGTTCATAAAAATACTACGCAGAAACCTAATTAAAAGGTTACAGACTTATAAGCTGTAAATAATGCCCTCTCAATCATATCCCCTTTGAAAGATATTTCAAATTCAATAAATTCTCCAAAAATTTACAATGAATAAAAAAAAATATCAACAGTTGTGTGAAATTGCATTCTTGAAAATTGTGGATTGTCAAACATTGAGAACTAATCCTATCTTTTGTGTTCCTGTTTCTATAGCAACCATCGTCATGACAAACTCAATTTCTGAAGGTCATCTTCAAGTGTGGCCTCCGTCTGAAAATACAGACAAAAATTTACTAATTATTTCAAATTAGTAAAAGAATTGTGGGAGGATTAATTTAAGAGAAAAGGAAAGATGTTTTAGCAGAAAAACACACAAAAGAAATGAATGTTCTAAAATATTTAACTTTCCATATCAAAATTACGGCAAAAGTTTTGTAATTTGACAAATTTATAATCAATTATTTCAGACTTAGACCACACCTGGTTGAAATTAAGTGCTAAATAATATAATGTTACACAAAAATATGTCTCGTCTGTGTAACCTAATCACAAACTTCAATAATGGATGACGCCAATGCTGGAAGCAGCAAGCCTAATTTTCGCTTCTGTAACTTTTGTTGCAGGCCAGAAATAACCAATCCAATTTACAAAAAAGAACTTCAATCTCATAAAATGTCCACCACAAAAATCAAATCAATTTACTGTGATTTTTTTTTAATCATTATAAACCAAATGAGCCATCAGATACTACAGATCAAAGCGCCATGTCATTTAAATTTCACACACATTTCCAATATCATAAGTTTTCTAATAAAGCATAATTGGATTTTTCTAATTCTTTCATTTTTATTATTGCTAAATTTTTTGTTTGATATGTAAAAATTGGTGTCCTCAAGCAGCAACTGGCAACTTGATCTTTACTGTTATTTTGCTACCTGTTGTTTTTAGATTGGCTTTCCCTAAAGCTAAGGGTCATCTTAACTGTTTTTGAGGTGTAATGCCTATACCTTTTACTTGTAGCTCGGACAAGGTCATCTGAATTCTTTATAGATGAAGGATGCTTATGTCCTTGATCTGTAGCAGTTTTTGAAGTGTAATTCCTTTGACCATTACCTGTAGCTAAGGGTTATCTTATTTGTTTGTAGTTGTAATTCCTTTGACCATAATCTGTAGCTTATGGTCATCTTAGCTATTTTTGAGGTGGGATTCCTTTGACCATGACCTGTATCCCAGAGACATCTTACCTGCTTTTTAAGGTGTAATTCTTTTGATCATGACCTATAGCTAAGGGTCATTTTACTAGGTTTTAGGGTGTAATTCCTTAGCCGTAGTCAAGTAGATCAGGGTCATCTTACCTGTTTTAGGTATAATGGCATTGACTTTTACCTGTACCCGGCCAGGGTCATCTTACCTGTTTTTTAGGTGTTATGCCTTTGCCCTTGACCTGTAGTTCAGGGTCATTAATAATATCTCCTTCCTGGTCTTCCTGGGCCTCATCCTCTTCTTCCTGAAAGTAAGCAACATTTTCAAAAATAACAAGAGATCAAAAACTCCCTTTTTTATTGTTTGACCTTCACTGAATGCAACATGTTTAATATTTCATAAGCACCACAAAAGGAGCCAGTGGTAGAGTATGATTTGCTGATAATTCAAGAGCATCTTAATTCATCCAAGGTGCTTCCTAGCAGTTCATATTACTCAATCATTCAGTTTTCTGTGCAGTGCTTTGTCATCTATCTTTTTGTATTTTTTCGCTTTTCACATGGTTTTGTCCATCTTTCTTTTAAATTGTTATTTTGTTTACCAATTTCTTATTTTCTAACTTATTAAAAGTCTTGTGAAAATCAGAAGTATGTGATTTGTAAGATTTATAATTCTTTATGAATTTTCAATGCAAGCATTGAAAAATGTCGCCCTATATCTTTTTCTTTAATCACTGTCTTCATCTCAAAGATGTTGAAATATTACAAATTCTACATGAAAGCACATTTGAAAGTCATTTTTAATAAAATACCATTTTTAGTATAGGTGAACTACGGACTGAAGTGTTCAATAAAATACAAACTTCCAACAGACTTGTACACTGAATTTTATAAAAACAAAAAAATCAAGTATCTACCGAAATACAATTTTTCCACATTAAAAAAATCTTAAGTTTTCTACAAATTGTGCAGGGAATTTTTGATATCAAGTTTCATTTGTCTTTCTATGAAAGCCTATAAAAATAAAACGCATATAATCTTAAAAATAGAAGAAGGTCTCCAAGGACACAAATTCCCCAGCTCAAGCTTGCTTGTAAAACAATACCTTTTTAAGAGCATTTGATGTCACTACTAGTTTTTAAAGAGTTCTATTGTTCTAGTCTTAAGTACGAAAAAATCAGCAATTTTTTAGAAGTTATAAAGGACATAACTCTAGAACAGAAAGTGACTCACTGCCCAAACTCGAACTCTGTCTGCAAGTTTTGGTTCTTAGCATCATAACATTTGGATGAGGAAGACTTGAAGTGTAGAAAAAAAAATGGGATGGACAGAAGAAGGTCAAGGGTAACACTTAATGCCCCTTCGTTGAGCGGCAGTCTCAACTTTTTTCCAGCATCTTGAATACTGAGTAGCATCCTCTATTTTGAGAAATAATCTTGTTATTTCATTTTTTACAGAGCAATAACCAGAAAGAAAACTTAACCATATATATTTTTCTACCTAAACATTGACAACCATATTTTTTTCTACCTAAACTTTGAATTAACAATATTTTTTTTCTAACCTCATCATTATCATCTTCTACATCATCCTCGTCTGCTGATCCTTCATCGTCACTGGAAAATCAAAATTTAAGAATCTGTTGTACATTAGTGTGAACTATTTTAATAAATATATTCTAAATTTCTAAATAACACAAGATTATTTTAATTCTGTTCCACATAAGTGCTTAAAAAGCATTGATAAAATTAATCAAAACAAACACTTAACTGGCTTGAAAGTTCCCTCCCTTAACAGATTTCCACTTATTTAAATACCAAAATTACGGAAATTGTTAAACTTCAATCAAAAGTTGCTTTGAATATTAAACTATTTATAATTGCCTTGTAATTTTCCTTAAGGTAATAAAAAAAATCTATAGAATTCACTGTAAAATAAAACTTCTGTTTGGCGAGTTGATGCTGCTTCCATACATTTCGGCAATCGTCAATTTTTTTTTAATCAGTCCAGCTTTTTCAACCCCGTACACTAAAACCTGAACATCTTTCTAGAGGCACAAGTTAGCTTTCTAATGGAGGTTTTGGTACACCCACTTAGAACTACTACAACATACCAGTATAATTAATATGGTAAGATACTTAATGCACTATCACCTAAATGAAATTTGCATTGTTCTGTCATTTTTTGATTGCATGTTTTAGTACAGAAGTCTTTCTTCCCCTCAAGCCAAACTAGTGCCATATTAAAATAAAAACAAACCTAAGAGAAGCCAGCAGATCCACCTTGTCCATTGCTTCCATCGTTCCTTTTAATTCCTCTACACCATTTTCTCCTAACATGTTACCTGTGTATTATAAACATATTATCTGTGTATTAAAAACAAAGTAACTATCGATATATATATATCACTACAAACTGCTCAGAGTCTGAAAAGACCAGTTTTTGTGCTCGACCAGTAAAGTCGAGCACACATTTTACTCGACAGTACTTAACTGTACTTAATTGTACTCGACTAGGTCTCCACTTTACTTAATTAGTCTGATTCAGTACTTGATGATCTTGGTGTAGTCTGAAATGGTCTCGACCAAGGCTCGACCAGTCTAGACCTGTCTCAACCAGTCTCGTCCTGTCTTGACTAGTCTCGACTCAGTCTTAACCAGTCTCGACCTTTCTCGACTAGTCTGGACCTTCAAATTTAGTCTTCACTGGGTATAAATCAGCCCATCTAACTAAATTAAATAAAGATCTTACAAAATTGCAGTTTATTTGTTAGTTTGATTCATTGCTGTGAAATGAAAGAATTTAATTAATAGGTAAAAAAAAAAATGATTAAATTCAGATAGGCATCTTTAAATTTTTTATAACTTTTTCAAATCAACTTGGATTTTCATCTAACTATACAGCTACCTTGGTAATATATTAATCTTACTGAATCCCAGGTTGTTAAGAAGTTTGGTGTATTGCTATCAAATTTAAGAATTAAATTAATCTAGGTCAAAAAAGCTAGGATTTGCAGTTCGGACAAAATAGAGATAGTACACTTTAATTTTTTTTATAACTTTTTCAAATCAACTAGGATTTTCATCAAACTATACAGCTATCTTAGTAATATTTGGTTATTTGGTAATTTGGTTTATTGCTGTCAAATTTAAATATCTAAATTATAGGTATCTATCTGAATTTTGTCAAAACTGAAAATGACAGTAATACACCAATATACAAAACAACCTGTTTTTTTGCATGATAAATATATAATAAAGATAGCTGAAAAGTTTGATAAAAAACCAAGCTGATTTGAAAAAGGTTATGAAATTTTAAAAAAAGACACCTTTTTTTGTTAAACCAAGAATTTTCAAAACAATCCTTGATAACCTTTTAAAAAAGGAAATGTGTTCCAAAGTTACAGTAAAAATGTATTTTAATCATATCTAAAAATAATTTTTGTCAAATTTAAAGACATGGCATACAAGAACCACTTTAATATGGTTTAATTACCTCAGTACAAGTGAGTTTTACAGGTAAAAAGAAAGCCCTACTTTTCTCGTGTATTACTTATCTAGTGAATTCAAAAAGCCCTGCGATTTAAGTTTAACAGGATGTTGCAAATTTGAATGAATGTTATTTAGAATTTAAAACTCTCTGGTAGGTGTGATCTTTTTAATAAGTTTCCCCAATCAGGAGGTATTGCTTTATACATCACCACTAATCAGAAGAAATATTTTAATAATTTCTTTAAAGTTTGATCCCTTTTTGATATATTCATATTATATATATAAAAAAAGGGATAAAACATTTAAGAAATTATTTAACTATATCATATATACTTTATCCCAAATTATAATAAAGGATATATTTCAAATATCCTAGCTTTTTTTATCTAGATTAATTAAATTCTTAAATTTGACAGCAATACACCAAACTACACAATGACCTGGGTTTCAGTAAGATCAATATATTACTAAGATAGCTGTATAGTTTGATGAAAAAACAAGTTGATTTGAAAAAGTTATAAAAAAAAATAAAGTGTACTATCTGAATTTTGTCAGAAATTGCAAATCCTTGCTTTTTTTACCTAGATTAATTTGAATCTTAAATTTAAAAGCAATACACCAAACTACATAACAACCTGGGATTCAGTAAGATCAATATATTACTAAGATAGTTGTATAGTTTGATGAAAATCCAAGTTGATTTGAAAAAGTTATTAAAAGAATTAAAGTGTACTATCTGAATATAGTAAAAAATTGCTGATTAGAAGGACAATCTTTCAAGGGCTGTTGCAGAATTAAACACCAAGGGGGCATGAGAGGCACTTTTTTAAGACCCCAACCACCCATAAAATACAATTTTTCATTTTTCTTATAATTCTTACAAATTCTAAGGAAAATGCAAGCACCCATATTTAATTAGTCAAGTGCCTTCCCATCCCCACCCCAGCCGATTACTTTTTAAATTTTGAAACAGCCCAAATGTTGGCTGCAATGGACATACAAAGACATTTAAATTCATTAGATAGAAAATCAACAGAAATTTTTAATTGCACTACTTCTGCATGTAATTAAAATCCATCTAACAGATTATCACATAAGAAGTTGTGCTTGAAAAATTTGTTGACAGACCATCAGATGGATAACACATTTAAATTTCCTATATGAAGTTTTCAGGGGTTAACTAATGACCCATTTCAAAATGGATTTATGGTGTCAAACCAATGTAAAGCTACAACTCGCATACTATAAAGATGGGGTATGAATACCAATAAACAACAGTCCACCAGAGACCAAATGACGCAGAAGTTAGCAACTATAGGTCACCAAACGGCCTTTAACAATGAGCAAAATTCATACCCCATAGCAAGCTAGATTAATTTTATATACACCGAATGGACACACAATGACACATCTATAAATAACCCTTGACCATAATCCAAAAATAAAACCCCATTCCAACCCTCCCACATTCATTTAAACTGAATAGCCCTCAGGCCAAGTTTTATTCAAATTGATCTGATTTCACAATAAACTTACAATTCAGATCTAGTTTCGTCAGTTGACCTTTGCCCTCCATACTCTCTGCTATTGCCATTGCTCCATCTGTCGTTATTTCATTTCCTGCCAGATTCAATTCCTTTAAAATATAAATTTATTTCAGATTACTGTAACCTGCACAATATGATAAAATTGATTACTATAAATGCCAATAAACATGATAGAGGTTAAAAAAAAGGAAAGGGGGAGGGTTTAGATCTTATTAAACCATATTTTGACCCTGCCATATAATCATATGCCTGTCTGAAGTCAAGAACTTCATCATTGGTCGTCTAACAGTTTGTAATTTTAGGAATTTTGTCTAGATGGCAAATATACTATACTCTCTGTTTAATTTATTCACAACTTAGATTTAGAACTTGACATATTGTATAGACACCTGTCTATTGTAGAATTTGTTTTCTTATTCTTGCTTTTTGGGTTGCTGTTCACATCTCCTTTTATTCATATATATAATACTACGGATTCATTTTCCTCCATGGGGTTCCAATTTTTCTTTGATTGCATAGGTGTTCAATTTAACTGTTCAACAAAGTACACATTTTCTAAAGGCTTGTATACCAGTCAGAGATATAACTCTATAGGGTTATTACAGAAAATAACTTGTGTGTGTTATTACAGATACTTTCATGAGTTGTCTACTCTTTATTCCTTAAATTTTCTAAATCTGCAATAACATATGTTTGTTATTTGTAAAATAAATCAAAAATGTTTTAATTTATAATGGGCTCTTGAGACTTTGCGCAGAAACTAAATGCATAGCCTTGGTAATTAATTTATTAATTAAATTAATACATTTTTGATTAACCATGGTAAATCAATGAGACAAGGCTTTTAAGGGATAAACTTAGCTGTAATAACAAGGCTAGGTTATTAAAGGAATGTAACTTATTATATAAGACACTTGGGAATTACTGAGAAACTTAATTGCGCAGAACCTCATTACATGCTCTGGTCATTACTTCTTACAATAAATTAAAATACATTGTAATTAAGCATGATGTTTGTCTGAGAAAATGCTTTGGAGTGATATAGAGAAGCTGTGATAACACCCTTTAGTTATTACAGGCATATTTTTTCTGTAATAACATATAGGTGTACTATGCAAAATTGGCAAACTATGAACTGTTATATCTTTCTATAGTTAAGTATACATAAAGACAATAGTAATATCAATAGAACTTGTATGCATTTTAACTAAACTAGTGATGTATATTGTCCCTTTGAAACATGTAACATACATATGTTATCACAGTTCTTTGATTTTTTAGTCCACAATAACAAATGTATGTTATTTTTCTGTAATAACCCTATAGAGTTATATCCCTGACTGTATACAGACTTTGGCAAAACAGTGAAATAAATATCAACAAAAATTGGTGCCCGCAAAAATAAATGAACAACAGTACAAAGAAATTCTTTTAAAACATCAACAATTGTTCAAACACTTGCAAGCAGACTACTTAAAATATGTTTTGTTTTCGTCTTAAAATGTTTGGCTAATATTTTAAGAAGAAAAAGTTATGCCAACAAACATTCTCTATGTGTCAGTCCCAAGTCAGGAGCCTGTTTTTCAGTTGTTGTCCATTGTTGCTGTTTATCATAAGTTTTGCCTTTTTTTTTTTGTATAAAAATCAGGCAGATAGTTTTCTCTTTTTGAATTGTTTTACATTTGTCATGTCAGGGCCTTTTATAGCTTGCTATGCAGTATGGGTTTTGTTCATTGTTGAAGGCCATACAATGACCTAAAGTTGTTAACTTCTATGTCATTTGGTCTCTGATGGAGAGTTATTCTCATAGGCAATCATACCACATCTTCTTATTTTCTTATTGTTAATCATGAAAAATCTAACAAAACACTTTCAAGCAGACTACATAAAATATTTTTCATCAGCCCTTTCAGCTGATATTTTTAGCAGAGAAAGTTATGTCAACAAATGAGCACTTATCAGTATCGTACTTACTTTTAACTTCGTATGTCCACCCTTCAAACTCTTGGCTAATATCTTTGCTCCATCTGTTTTGATAAGACAATCACCAAAATTTATTACTTCTAAATTCTGTAAATTTGGTAATACCTAAAAAATATTATAGGAAATTAAAAATGTATCAAAGTGCAAGGTCCTTTATTGAAATTATCTGAAGTCTAAATTTAAAAGTGAAAATTGAAAGTATTTACAATATACAGACTCATAAAGGTAGCAAGAGTGAAATTTCTGTTCAATATTTAAAGAAGTACATCATTGAAGATAAAAAAGCTTTAAATGAAAAAACAAATAGTGTGCAAGAACATTCATATACCAAGAAACCAAACATTGTGCATAAATTTTAATCTCCAGATACAACTTAAATTCCTCCATGGTTGTTCCCTGCTGTGTTTAAAAATAACAAGCTTTTTATAAATATATAAATAACGGAAATAAAATAGCAGAAAAAAATGAAGGTTGCGTGTCCTTATTTTCGAAAACATAAGCTATTTAAAAATTTGACGGGAAATGGTTCTGTCTAGATTTTTCATACATTTAACATTGGCATCTTTTTTTCTTTCAAAAACTATGATAGAATAACAAAGATTTTTTAAGATTTTCAAAAACTATGAAAAGAAAAGTAGCGGTTAGTGCGTCAAATTTTTAATGGGACTACATGGATAAAACCAGAGGATTCCAAATATCTTACAAAAAGTAGAAAACAAGTCAGCGAACATCCTTAAACAACTCATAAAAGGTAAATAACAAACCTTAGCTATACTTTGTGAACCTTTCTTGGTAAATGTATTATCGTTAAGGTTGAGTATTTTTAGCTGTTTATTTTCTGACAATGCTTCAGCAAGAGCTGTGATACCAGGATGATGTATCCCATTCTGTGGCATCGATATCTCTTCTAATGTACCAATAGTCTGATAAGAGAAATACAATAATTGCATAATTGTTTCTTTTCCCCAGACAATGCCTTCGTTAGAGATAGTAAAGTTAGACTGTTCTATTTTTTCTACTAAAGATAAAAAAAAAATCTATTAATCTATCAATATCTTGTATTAAAAGAAATAAATGGGGAATGTGTCCATGGGACACAGATGATGCCCTCGCTTGCATAAAATGTAATAAAGGGTACAGGATGGACAGACAGGCAAGGATAACACTTAATGCCCCCTACGGTGACGGTGGGGGCATACATATACAACCAATACAGCTTGAGTATTAATTTTCTAACAATGTCGTTGCTTGACCTTGATATCTGGACATGGTATCATTTTCTAATGTAACATTAGCCTGTGGAGAGATATACAACCGGTAAAATGTTAGTGTTTTTGTGACAAAGCCTCCGTTTGAACTGTAATCGCATGCACACTTCACATTGGAAAAAAAAACCTAATTTTTGTAATAATAGCTTGTTTCACATTTGTCATTTCGGGGCATTTTATAACTGACAATGCAGTATGGGCTTTGCTCATTGTTGAAGGCCGTACGGTGAACTATAGTTGTTAATTTCTGTATCATTTGGTCTCTTGTGAAGAGTTGTCTCATTGGCAATCACACCACATCTTCTTTTTTATATGTAAAAAGAATTTGCTACAATACACAGAGGATGGTTCAGTTAATAATAACTCCTGTTGTTGATTCACTGTAAAATTGTTGGTGATTGAAGGTGTAAACACTTTGATTTACAACCCTTAAACATTGTCAGCATGAATCGCCAAAAATCACCAAAAATGATTTTTAAATGAATTGCCTTGTTTGCACTGTATAATTTCTCGAGTAATTTTATAATATTACAATATCTTTTCTCTTATAATAATTACCACACAAATTACTTTCAATGTATTTACCTTAAATGCCTGAGCCAGTGCAATGGCCCCTTCATTCTCTTGTCTATTTCTCCCACAAACAAATACTTTTAGAGCTAGTGGTTTTCCTGCCTGACAACTGGTCTTGTGACAATCTAATAATGACTGGGACAGCATCTAAATGGTAAAATATAAAGGATAATTATTACAGTATGGTGTTTGAAGGGGTCAAAAATTGTTAGTCCAAATTTTCCTTTACCTTAAAATTTTGCTGGTTGGGATAAATTAGTTTCCCTGGCTGGATTTGTGTTCTCTTTAGTTGCTTGAAAGTTCAAACTATAGTTTCATTCCTTAAAAAATATTGATATGACTTCTTCTGACAAAAAAGATTTTTTTTTTCAAAAGGGGATATAACTCTGGTTCTAAGTATTGTACAATTGTACAGAGAGTACTAACTTGGACAGAAATACAAATTTACAAATAATAAAGAGAGACAACTCTTGTCAATTTAATTCTTTTTTCACAAACAACACTACCATTGCTGCCATTGGAAATATCTTTTTTAGTTATGGAATGGGTCACAGTTCAACCAAATAAATAGGGAATGTGTCCATGGGACAGAGATGAAGCCACTGATTGCATATCATATAAAGTTATAAAGGGACATACGTACATAACTGAAGAACGGTAAAAGTGACACTACCCAAATTTGTACTTGATCTGAGTTTTGTGGTAATAAGTATTGTGTATAAGTTTCATAAAATTTGGTTGAAGCAAACTTACATTAGAGAACGGAAATGAAAAATTCAGCAATTTTTCCATTTGTAAAGGGGCATAACTCTAGAACAATATAAGTGACAACACCTAAATTCAAACTTGATCTATGTTTTGTGGTAATATGCATTGTGTATAAGTTTCATAGCATTTGGTTGAGGCAAACTCAAGTAAGAGAACAGAAACAAAAAACTCAGCAATTTTTCCATTTGTAAAGGGGCATAACTCTAGAACGGTTAAAGTGACGCCACCAAAATTCAAACTTGATCTGTGTTTTGTGGTAATAAGCATTGTGTATAATTTTCATAACATTTGGTTCAGGCAAACGAAAGTTAGAAAACGGAAACAAACTTTGGGACGTACGTACGTACGGACAAGGGTAAACCTTAATGCACCCTCCGCTTCAGCGGGGGCATAAAAAATCACATTAAAATCTTCCTTAACACTTGATATTTCAATTGCATTTAATTATATAAGACAGCATTACTATATTATTCATATTTCCCTTTTGGCTTAAAATATAATCTATAGGTGTCCTTATATTACTACATCAGGAACATGTTTATTTTCCATGAAAAATCATACATGTATGCAAGAATTATGGAACAATACCATTTCTTGATGTGTGACAATTTTCAGAGCCGTCAACTATCAGAAGTCTTCAATTCGTCATCATTATTCTTATGCCATGGAATTGTGATTGTTGGTTTTCCAAAACATGTGAAAATTAGTAAGACGGGGCAGGCAGGAAAACTTTTTATTTCGTTTTATTTTTTTTGAGAAAAATCATTTTTTGCTCTAGAGGGAATGTTGTTGTTAGCCTGACAGTTTTACATTCTATTAGCTTTGTGAAACTGAAGGAATGATAATTTAACAATGTTGACAGACTTTTAAGAGATTACCAGACAATTTTAAAAAGCATAAAAAACTAAAAATTTAAATGTACTAAATAACTGACCTTCCCACCACCAATACCCAGACCATTGTTGTTGAGCCTGAGTTCCTGTAATGTGTAACAGCTACTACTCTTCAGAAGTTCTACCAATCCTTCAACACCCAAAGGTCCAAAGGCATTGTCACTCAAGTCAAGTTCTACAAGGCCAGCTCCAGATGACATGATGGCTCCGCCTAAATGTTTCTGAAATAATCAGCAACACCTTTTATTATCAATTAACTTTTGACAAAATACTGTTTAATTTTTATTATATTTACTAACATTCTCATCTATTCAACATTTCATATTCAAAAATAAATAAAAGAACAGAGTTCCAATGTCCCCCGCGTTGCACTTATTAAATATTTCCCAAAGGGCATAACTCTTTTAAAAAAAGTCGATTGCCCAACATTATAGAACTTGTCTGAGACATTGCTGATATTAACCTACATGTATAGTATAAGTTTTATAAAAATCTGGCAAGAATTGTAGCAGTGAGAGCGCTAACAAGACCTGACGGACGGACCGACAGACACACGGACAGATGCCGGTATTTCCATGTCTGCCGCAACGCGTTGAACAAAAAAATAATAAATGGAGACACAGATGATGCTTCCTCTTTTCCATTTATAAAGGGACATATCTAACTGTAAAAGTGATGCCAAATTTGAACTTGATCTGTGTTCTATGGTAATAAGCATTGTGTATATAAGTTTCATAACAATTGACTTAAGGCAAACTAAAGTTAGAGAACGGAAACCAATTTTGGAATGTGCTTACGGACAAAAGTAAAACCTAACGGCGGGGGCATAAAAATAAAGCAACATTCTTTTCCAGTAGAATTCCTATATTTAGAATTTCCATTTTTTTTAATTGGATACAATTTTTTTTTAATTTTTTTGTATAAGTATTAAAACCATGAAATTAAATATCCAACATACATGACAAAGTACAAATTTCAAAAAGGCTTGAATGCATACTTTGGCAAAACCATGAAAATATGATTTTTCCTCAATCCACAAAAAATTAATATCCACTACATATATAAAATGAATCCACAGCAGAAGAGGATATCACGTATATTCTATTATCAGACTATGGTTTTCTCATTGTTAAAAGGGTGTACCGTTCTTTATTATTGCTTACTTGCACTTCATTTGAACTTTGGTGGATAATTGTCTCATTTGCAATCATACCATATCTCCTTGTTTTTATATTAAATAAAGTTCTGATGTATCATGCAGTCTCTACTGAAACATACATGTACTTTATTGATGATAATGTTATTATCCAAATTAAGATAGTCTTTGATCTTATGCTCCAACAATATTTGACCTTTGAAAAGTGTAAATGTTTAGATCCAACTTACCAGTGCTTGAGGTATTTCAGTTTTCAACCTCCCAGTAAACATATCACTCCATAGTGCTCTCTGAAATAAGAAAATAAAACATCAGTATTCAACCTCCCAGTAAACATATTGCTCCATAGTGCTCTCTGAAATATATAGTAAATAACAACATCAGAATTAAACTTTCCTGAAATGGCTGAAGAATATTGATAGGCAATTGTTTACATTTGTAAGAGAGGACTTATAGCTTATCTATAGTTTGACGAAAAACTAAACACATTCCAGTTGTTTTTTTACATTGAAATTCAGTATAGAAATAAGAAGATGTGGCATGAGTGCCAGTGAGTCATAATAATGTCCAAAGCTTACAATTAGCTAAATACTTTTGAAATTTTAGCTGAAATTCTGGATATTTTTTTCTGATTACAAGTAACAACATGTACAATGAAACCAAGTTTGGAATTTTTTACAGGAATTTTGACTATTTGTGCCTATAAATATTTCTTGGAATTTTTACCTGGAATTCTGGATGTTTGCTATAAATAACATTTTATGTATTCATGATATTCTGAGATTTTTTACCTGGAATTCTGGACGTTTGGCTAATTAGAAATTCTGGTTGTTTTGCTTAAAATATATTCTAGGAAATTTTTAACCTGGACTTCTCAATATATAACTTATTACTATTAGATATCATAATCACAGAATGTCTACCTGGAATTCTATATGTTTAGCCAATTAGATATTCTGTGACTTACTTGGAATTCTGGATGTTTAGCTAATGCTTTAGACAATTCTTCTGCAGCCTCTACACCAAGGGTATTCCCTTCCATTCTCAATGCTGTCATAGTTTTGCATTTTTCAATTTCATCAACTATGTCTTTAACTGGGAAAAAAATGTTAATTTGTAATCACACATTACTTTTGACAATTAAATCTTTCCCATCACTATGTTTACCCAACACTAACATGACTAAATATAAACTTATTAGTACTCCTTAAGGTGTAATACCACCATTGATTTTCCCCTATTAGTCTTTGTTAAATTTGCACTTTTCAAAAAATTGCAGAATTTATCTTTGTTTTAAATAAAGAAATACTTTGCATGAGTAAACTTTTATCCTGTCCAGTACTATAGAAAAAATTTCACATAACTTTTCATTGCATATAAGAAAATAACCATCACTGGAAGTTAACCAATCAAATTTTCCCCCTTTTTTAATCTGTGTACAAGCTTTAGTAACCATGTAACCTCAAGTTTCCAAAATATTCTATAGAAACCCCAAATAAAAAAATAATGGTGCTTTGAAATACCCAAGATATATGTTTATGACCCAGAAATAATTTACTTCAATGAAATGTAGGATCAATTACCTACAACTGTCAAATTCAAGGGAATATTTTTTTTCTAACTATTTTTGTATGCAACCAGATGTGACGTACTATGATTTGGTGGTATTACACCTTAAGCTTATTGTTCTGACTATTATTAATGAAATTTCAGCTACTTCTTTAAGGTGTGCATAAGGTGTGCATAAGTTAAACAAAACCTGAGTAACTCCAAAAGGTTCTTAAAAACAGAACATACAGAAAGTAGAACCGACTATCATTAGTGAAAAATGACACTGGATCTATCAGATTTTGTCTATTGACTGCAATTACAACTAGAGGCTCTAAAGAGCCTGTGTCGCTCACCTTGGTCTATGTGCATATTAAACAAAGGACACAGATGGATTCATGACAAAATTGTGTTTTGGTGATGGTGATGTGTTTGTAGATCTTACTTTACTGAACATTCTTGCTCCTTACTATTATCTCTATCTATAATGAACTTGGCCCGGTAGTTACAGTGGAAAATACTTTGTAAAAATTTACAAAAATTTACAAAATTTATGAAAATTGTAAAAAATTGACTATAAAGGGCAATAACTCCTTAAGGGGTCAATTGACAATTTTGGTCATGTTGCCTTATTTGTAGATCTAACTTTGCTGTACATTATTGCTGTTAACAGTTTATCTCTATCTATAACAATATTCAAGATAATAACCAAAAGCTGCAAAATTTTCTTAAAATTACCAATTCAGGGGCAGCAACCCAACAACGGGTTGCCTGATTGGTCTGAAAATTTCAGGGCAGATAGATCTTGACCTAATGAACAATTTTATCCTCATCAGATTTGCTCTAAATGCTTTGGTTTCAGAGATATGAGCCAAAAACTGCATTTTACCCTACAGTACAGATTTCGCGAAAGGCTTCCCAAACTCCGAACACCAAGTTTTTTCTTGGTGTGACACCAGGAAACTCCGACATCCCTCCCTAAATTCTCGGAGAAATTTGGGAGTATTCCCTCCGACTTCCGCGTAAATTTGCTACCTTTTGTTTATTGTATTAGCGACATCTCTCCCAGTCCGGTGTGACGCGGTGTCACACCAGGTAATTAATTGCCCTAATCCTTCTGATCTATACCGGCACACAACAGTCAAGGTATGTGAGATTACTTATGTAATTAAACAATTGTATTTCCTGTCTATTGATAATCAGGTTATATTTCTGATTGCTTGAAACAAATAAAAGATTTAAAAGCAAAACGTTGTTGTTAATTCTTTCAATTACACTGTACATTTAAAAATAGTTTTATTAAAAAAAAACTATATTTGATTTTTACCTCGTTTTTTTTTTCTGGTCAGTAAATTAATATTTAATTTACAAAAAAAGATATACTTGTGTAAAAATAAATGGAGACTTACGCTGAATAAATGTGGGCAGTTTAAAGGAAAATTACATGTCTCAAAGTTTTGTATACAAGTAAAAAAGAAAATATTACTCACTATTCGTTATGCTAATAAGTCCACGCCATTTTCATTTTACGATTACATAATTGCTTGAAACAAATTAAAGATTTAAAAGAAGAATGTTGTTGTTAATTCTTTCAATTGCATTAAAGTTTTATAACAAAAACTATACTTGATTTTGACCTTGTTTAAGTTCATCGGTAAATTATTTTATTTACGAAAAGAGTCATACTTGCGTAAAAATAAACGGAAACTAACGCTGAATATAAAAGTGAGCAGTTTAAAGAAAATTACGTGTCTCAAAATTTGTATATGCTAGTAAAAAAGAAAATACTATTCACCATTCGTTATGCTTAATAAGTCTACGGCATTTTCTCTTTACGATTTGTTGGCATTACTTTAGGATAAATAATTACATTTCGGCTACAACAGGAATACTTCTATAGCTGCATCAACTCGTCGTTGCATAATATTCATTTACGCACAATGAATGTAAACTTGTGTGTTGTATAAAGGACAGTGATTTTTAAATTTTTTAAAAGAAATTAATTGCCGTGGGAAGACGATACACATCTCAGTGATCAACAGTCTGTGGTTGAACTTTGAACTTGACTTCGCTCACAATATTGAATGCTAAAAATAGTGACATCAATTTTGTCCACGAGATTTTTATTTGGCGGGAAATATTATCACGTAACAGTAAACTCAGGTGACCTTTCTGGATGACCGTGGGAAAATTCATTCGGGGTTTAAATTTGCTTTGGAATGATTGACATTTGTATGCCTTAAGATTGAGGCTCTGGAAGGTCCTTTTACAATTGATTAACCGGAATCTAAAATATAATCCTTTTCTGAATAAACGAACACCAGCCTTTTAATTTTACGTTTCTCAGTCAACACAGGACATAAACCTGGACATTATTTATACGTCCATGGTCAACAATATACATAAATGGTAGATGAAAACAGGATGCATGTCGTTCAGTTCCTGTTGGGCGTTGGTAGAGATCCTCTGTGAAAATGTGTAGATCGTAAAAATCCGATCCACATTTTTTTCACATATTTCTTCCTTGTAGAACACGATATAATTTCATTTAAATATTATATAGTATTAATTGTTGAAATACTTCTTTTTTAAATTTCGCCAAGGACTTTTAACGAGCAGTAAAATACGGATTGCGCCCATCCAATTTTATTTTAAATAAAATTGGGTCAATAACAGATCATAAGAGATAAACAACACATGATTTTTTTTCTTCATATAATTAAATTACGTTGTGGTTATTGTGTTGTGTCTGGGCGGGGAATGTCTCTCAGTGTTGTGTTTTTATGAATATAGGGCACATTGCATACAAAACGTTTTCCCTTCGTTCAACAGAGTTGTCACTTTACAGTTTCTTTTCTGAGTTCAAATATTTCAAGTCGGTAATCTACCGAGGTAGTGAAACATAATATTTTACATTGCAAAATAAATTGAAAGAAACAGAGTTCACTTGTTGATCCGATAAATTAACTCTTGGGTTTAGATTGGACAAATTATCGTAAAATTTAAAACATCATTTTGTTTTAAGCCAGTTGATATTTATATATTGAACAATTAATGAACCGGATATTGCTCACTGAGTAGGTCATAAAAGATTCTAATTGTAGTAAAATCGTCTTTGTTGAAAAAACAAAAATAATGACCTGACTGGACTTTAATAAAAATACAAAATAAGTGTTTAATTCGTATTTTTATATGTTTATACGTTTTATTTCAAATGACAATGACATGGGGCAAATACATACAAGAACAATTATCTTATTTTGAATGAAAATGTCACATTTTTATCTGTCAAAGAAAGGAAATTTTAATACTGTGTTTTAAAGCACACAGGTGCAATCAAGATCGATTAAATGTACAAAGGTAATAAATCTGGCTAATCCGATTATGTTGTCACGCGTCATTAATTTTCAGTACATCCGATGGGCAATAAACCAATTAACAGCCACGCGGTGTTGGGAGAGAATCTTTGGAGGAAATTGGGAGTATAATCCGTGATTCGCGGTGTGACACCGCTACACTCCGAAATCCGTGATTAGAGTTCGCGATTACAAACTCTCTGTGCGTACTGTATGTACTATTTTTTAGACATGTCTGCCATCTTGGTTCGCGGGCGGGGTCATCGGACACATTTTTTAAACTAGATACCCTAATGATGATTGTGGACAAATTTGGTTAAATTTGTCTTAATAGTTTCAGAGGAGAAGATTTTTGTAAAAAATTACGAAAAATGGTTAAAAATTGACTATAAAGGGCAATAACTCCTTAAGGGGTCAAATGACCATTTTGGTCAAGTTGACTTATTTGTAGATCTTACTTTGCTGAACATTATTGCTGTTTACAGTTTATCTCTATCTATAATAATGTTCAAGATAATAACCAAAAACGGCAAAATTTCCTTAAAATTACCAATTCAGGGGCAGCAACCCAACAACGGGTTGCCTGATTGGTCTGAAAATTTCAGGGCAGATAGATCTTGACCTAATGAACAATTTTATCCTCATCAGATTTGCTCTTAATGCTTTGGTTTCAGAGATATGAGCCAAAAACGGCATTTTACCCTATGTACTACTTTTTAGCCATGTCGGCCATCTTGGTTCGCGGGCTGGGTCATCGGACACATTTTTTAAACTAGATACCCTAATGATGATTGTGGACAAGTTTGGTTAAATTTGTCTTAGTAGTTTCAGAGGAGAAGATTTTTGTAAAAGATTACAAAAATTTACGAAAAATGGTTAAAAATTGACTATAAAGGGCAATAACTCCTTAAGGGGTCAAATGACCATTTTGGTCAAGTTGACTTATTTGTAGATCTTACTTTGCTGAACATTATTGCTGTTTACAGTTTATCTCTATCTATAATAATGTTCAAGATAATAACCAAAAACGGCAAAATTTCCTTAAAATTACCAATTCAGGGGCAGCAACCCAACAACGAGTTGTCCGATTCATCTGAAAATTTCAGGGCAGATAGATCTTGACCTGATAAACAATTTTACCCCATGTCAGATTTGCTCTAAATGCTTTGGTTTCAGAGATATAAGCCAAAATCTACATTTTACCCCTATGTTCTATTTTTAGCCATGGCGGCCATCTTGGTTGGTTGGCCGGGTCACCGGACACATTTTTTAAACTAGATACCCCAATGATGATTGTGGCCAAGTTTGGTCAAATTTGGCCCAGTAGTTTCAGAGGAGAAGATTTTTGTAAAAGTTTACGGACGACGTACGCCAAGTGATGAGAAAAGCTCACTTGACCTTTCAGGTCAGGTGAGCTAAAAAAGTAAATTAAGATCAACATTATTCTCAAAAATAAATATTGAAGCCAAAACAATTACAACAATGTATGTTTTGTGCCTCTCGACCAACCCAAAGTTTGATCACCAACCCTAAAACATTTTATTGACTTTCCCAAAAAAATTATTCAATAAAAAGTTTTATGAGTCATCTTACATGTAATCTGGGAACAGTATATCTAACTGGAAATGAACCTGATAGGCTTTTTAGTATAAAATTGATAAAATCCCAAAATTCACGAGATGTCGTGAGATTATAACGACCGAGCTTGCTCAATAAATTTACCACATATTTACAAACATTCAACGAATACAAGTTTTACCTTAAAGAAGATATATTTTGTCATATAAAATTACCAATATAAGTGTGATTTATTTGATGTGGAGTGCTTTATAATGGTTTGTAAAATTCATGAAAACTGGGAATTCCATCGGCGCCATTTTTTTATTACCCTATTTGAATTTTGTACCCTTCTGTGATGAAATGAATGCGATTATGACAAATTTGAAGTGACAGATTACAAGTTCGATACACTGGCATCACTCATTACTTAGTTTGAATAACATTTATTGATATTATTAGAAATTATTAAGATAATAGCGAGTACGTATTTTACACGTCTGTTTCCATATCGTGTAATTTATTTACTATGACCCAACCTTAAAATTGGCTGCAATTAAGTAGTGTAAAGTCCCGTCAATATATATGTTCCTGATGTAATTGACTATAAATCCTAATTCCATTGGATTATTCACTCAAATTTGTAATAAGATAGGTCCATATGAGTGAAAAACTTGTCAAAAAATTTAAAACAACTATGGTTGTCTTTCTGAAATTGTTTAACATCTAACCCCTTATTTTATTGATTTTGTATTTACATTGTGTCATAGATCAAATTTATTCGTTCAGTGTATGTTCACTTGTGTTAATTATAATATGTCTTTAGATTGAGTTAAGCCAGTTCAATTGATATTTTATAGTGTATCTTCTATGTTGTGATGTTACACTATTGTTTCAGGTAAGGATGAAGGTTGGTACCTATCAAAACGTTTAAACCCGCTGCATTTGTGTGCACCTGTCCTAATTCAGGAACCTGATGTTCAGTGGTTGTCATTTGCTGATGTGGTTCATAAGCATGATAAGTGTTTCTGGTTTCTCGTTTTTTATATAGATTAGACTGTTGGTTTTTCCGTTTGAATGGTTTTACCCTAGTCATTTTTGGGGCCCTTTATAGCTTGCTGTTCAGTGTGAGCCAAGGCTCCGTGTTGAAGATCGTACTTTGACCTATAATGGTTTACTTTTACAAATTTTGACTTGGATGGAGAGTTGTCTCGTTGGCACTCATACCACATCTTCTTATATCTATCAACAATTAATTGAATGCATAAGTGTTAAACGGAGAAATTGGAGGAAATATGTATCTTTTTCCAGTTGTGTCAATGATGTCAAAAGTTCAAGAGGCGCAGTTTCATGGGTCAAGTGGTGCAGAATTCCAAATAGTGATAAGGTGTATAGTGATAAGACCTCAAGTTTGAAGTATGATACTGCCCTGTAGCTTAGTTGGTCCATTCGAATGTTATGTCAACAAAATGTGTACAGACTTAACTTGAAGTTGTTTTTGTTTTGTTTTGTTTGTTTGTTATTTAGACGTATGATTACCATCAGCAGCGCTATTTAGCTTCAATCCCTTTCCTTTAAAACTTAGTTCATATGTTTCATTAACTTTGGTCTTTGCCAACTGTTCAGTGACTGATGTCAAATCTTTTGATGACATTTTAGGGGTAATATTTGTAAAAATAAGGCTGTTGGGCTTCTCGCTTTCAAGTTTATGGCGCTGTTTGTTACTTCCGTTTGAATGGTCTGACTAATACCACGAATAAATATATATCGCCCTTTGCATATTCGTCCCAAAATCATTTATCGGCACATTTTAAAAAAAAATATTACGTGCGGAAGCCTTTTAGGGCCGTGCTAACCTACCTTTTCCATTTTGATATAACAAATTATTAATTTGATCAGTAGAAAAGATTATCAATTTGATATAACTAATTATTAATTTGGTACAACACATTATTAATTTGATAAAACAGATTATTAATTTAGTATAACAAATTATTAATTTGATAAAACAAATTATCGATTTGATATAACAAATTATCAATTTGATATAACAAATTATCGATTTGTTATAACAAATTATCAATTTGATATAACAAACTATCAATTTGATATAACATATTATTAATTTGATATTACAAATTGTGAATTTCTCTACCAATAGTATGATTTAATCATTATAATGATTGATTGAAATATTGCGCAACCGAAATTGGCGCATTATTTGTATTGATTGATTGTTTATCTGCCGTCCAGTGACAAATATCGCATTGCATGCATGTTAAAAACTCTGTTAACAGGTTTAATATTTCTGAAACTCTGCCACCCCCTTTAATCCTTTATTTGAGGCAGTTTTGGGGACTAGTTTCTCTATTTAGTACATGAGACCTGGTGACTTATAACGAACGAATTATATAATAGAGAAATCAAAGTACTGAAGTACTGAACATCGGATGACCGCAAGTTCTGGTGGATGGTTACAAGCACTTGTCTCAGAAAAAAAAACACATCTCTATACCCGAAAGTGAGGTTAATGTACAGAGATATATTTTTTTCTGAGACAAGTTCTTGCGTGGATGATGAATAAATGACAGAGAATTCAACATCACCGTAATAACTATTATGTTGCAGTGATACAAATCAGTATACTATGGTTTGTTGTTATATATTTTATTAATATTTGTATATAACAGTTACATGTATATATAATTTTCATCCATTTGTATATCATTCTATTCTACTATTCTAATAATAGTGCAGTACAAGTGCATGGAGGACACTCTTCTGTAATAATTCGACTTTTCTAATAGATCGGATTTGAGTAGGCATTCATATTTTCCCGCAAAACGTTCTTGAGATATTCTTCCGCATACGTTAACACAATTTTTCTATACCTGTGCATAGATATTAATGATTTTTTTCTAACGATAAAACATTTTCATATTATTAATTTGTGTTCTAAAAAAAATATTTTTATGAGTATTCATTGAAGAAATGAATTTATAACAAGCGATAAGGAATGTTATTTTGCATTCGATAATGTCCGCGTAATTATACGATCGGTTACCAGTCAAAAACGATAGTCAAATCTCTGTGGCAACAATACATCGGAATGCCCTCACGGTCATCGCGATGTAAAAAGGATCAATTCATATTGCACATACTCAAGTTAGGAAGAAATGACTATAATAGTTTTATTGAGATATTGGTGTTTCTAGTAATATAGGAACATGCAAGGATAAAAAAATGCTTCCCTTTCTTTAAATAGCCTGACATGTTTCTTTATCAATTTCAATAGGAACATGCATGCAGGGATTAATTCAACATCCCTAAATTCATCCTTGTATCTGTCTTTATAAATTTGTTTTTGATTTGGAAATATTTAAATTTAAAAAAGACCCATGCGCCACATCTAGAAGGATTGTGTCGTCCCGTGGTGGATATATACGTCTGGAGTTTAATTTCTGTTGAACAAACTACACGTTTATAATCATAGAAGCTAAATAACTGTGTATTCATAGGTAAAAAATCGAAGATCATGAGCAATGCAAAAAAATTAGGTCTCCAAGTCTCTCTCTTAATAGTTTTAGCGTTTCACTTATATATCCTTTATGTCAAATAGAGAAGAGGAAACCACAATCCATGCATACATAATTTGATATATCAAATTATCATTTTGTTATATCAAATAAATAAATTGTTATTCAAAATTATCATAATGTGTTATATCAAATTGATAATCTGTTAAATCAAATTAATAATTTGATATCAAATTGATATTCTTTTATATCAAATTATAACAATTTGTTATATCAAATTAATAACTGGTTATTTCAAATTAATAATTTGTTATATCAAATTGATAACCTGTTATATCAAATTGTTAATTTGTTATATCAAATTGAAAAAAAGGCTTCCGTAATTATCATATACTTGTTTATTTACATTTTTGTATTTAAAAAGTCAATGGAGTAATCGATCCTTACACCAAGGAATCAAGATTCAAGATTTCAAGATTTTATATGAACACTCAGTCACAGATACATGAGCTAGGTCATTAACAATAGCATTACATAAACATGACGCAGTAAACATGTGGTATCAATAATATAGATATAGCATATATAGATATAACAATAATATACAAATATATTTCCCAACATTTTCTGAATATATTGGCAATGTTTTTGATAAATACAAAAAGTCGTTTATACAGTTGTACATTACATATTGAAAGGTGACCTTCCATTTTTTTATAATAAGAATTCACTGTGTAGTAGCTTGGTAGAAACTTTTCCTTTAAAACAACAATATTTTGATTAGTACATTTAAATAACAAATGAAATTCATCACCAATATTACTCCTACACAAAGTACGTATTCTATCATGCCTCGGAATATTTTGCCATCTGCCTGTTTCAATAGGCAGACGCAGATTTGAACACCTGAAATATGTGATCCAAAGCCTGCAATATTCAGGAAGTTTTAGAAGGTATGTTACCAAAGTAAACTCTTTTTTAAATATCGAGTAAAATTGTCCTCGTGATGAGTTTTCAATATCACTTATAACCACTGTTGTACAAACTGATCACAAAGTATTTGTTTTAAGTACATTTTATCACAGTAGCCCGTTTGATTGGCAAAAATATATCCAATGCCAGTACTGTTTAACATTGCTTCTATAAAATTTACCCATTTAAAGGTGTATTTAGATTTAGGCTTTAAACCAAGCATCAATCTATACAATGAATTGCATAGCTTTGATTCATTATTTACAATTTTACACCAATATATAATCATTTTAATTTTCACCTTTATCTCCAGAGGAAATCTACCCAATTCTCCATAAACCATAAAATTATGCGTAGTATTTCTAACTTTCAGCGCCCTTTTGCAGAATTTCAAGTGAGTCTTTTCGATAATTTTCACTGAGGTTTTCAAAGCCCCAAACTTCAGAACCATACAGTAAGATAGGTTCTATCATAGAATCAAAAAGTTTAAATTGTAGATCAATGGGTAAAGATTCATTTCGTATCATTTTGTAAATATAAAACAGTGCCTTTTGGGCTTGATCTACAAGTTTCTTTTTGGTATCAAAAATGTACCATTATATTTGAAAATGACACCCAAATACGAAAATGTATCTACAATTTCAAGTAAATAATTCTGCAATGTAAATTTCAGATTTTGTTTAGTTTTCCTCTTGCAAAATACCATAACTTAAGTTTCCTTAACATTCACCTTCAGTTTCCAATTTTCGCAACTACAACTGAAGAATCTAAGGAATTTTGAAAGCCTTCTTTTGTATCTGAAAAAATGACTGTATCATTAGCATACAGTATTACGAACAATTCAAAAAATATATAAAGTTCGTTTTCAAATTTTTCCTTTAAAAATTCTAAAGGAATACCATCTAAATTTCTAAAATATTATTCCAAATCGTTCAGGAAAATGGAAAATAGAATGGGAGACAAATTATCTCCTTGTCTTACACCAATCAGACATGGGGAAAATTCTGAGTGTTCACCATTATATTGAACACAAGATTTAATACCTTGATACATATTAAAAATAACTTTGAAACATTTCCCTTGATTTCACTAAGATGTAGTTTTTGCCATAAGCAGTGTCAAAAGCTTTCTAAAGTCAATAAATGTACAAAAAAGTTTTTTTTTCCAAATGAAAAATGTAATTCTACAAGTGCATGTAACACAAAAATATTATATGTTGTTGCATATCCTTTTCTAATACCAGCTTGATTTTCTGATATAAGAGAAATTTTATTCGCAAAAAAATTTAGTCTAGTATTTATAATAGAAGTAATAATTTACCCAAACAGCTGATAAGTGTAATAGCTCTAAAATTATTAGGGTCTGTAGGATTGTCTTTTTTTAAACACAGGTTTAATAATACCATTTTTCCAAGTGTCTGTAATAATTCCAGAATCTAATACAATATTAAATAATTTACATTACAATGATACAAAAACAGGGGGGTGAATTTTTCAAAAATTCATTAAGTATTTTATCAGAACCTTGTTATTTTTTAAATTCCTCATCACTTCCAAGACTTCTAATTCAGTAATATTTCCATTCAAGATTTCATTATAAATGGGATTACTAGATATCTGATTAATGTCAAAATCGGGTTCATGTAAATCTTCTTCTTCTTCCGTATTTAAATCCTTTAAATAATCGTAAAATGTATTTATATCAATAGGAGGAGATTCTTTTAGAGTGTAAGACATTTTTTTCTAGCGTTTTCCAAAATCCTTTTGTGTCATGCTTTGACAATGTTCTCAGCTCATTTGTACACTTGTCTTTATATTTGTGATAATTAATTTGTAGAATTTTTCTGTATGCTCGAGCTGTGTGATTTAATATGGTTTTGTTTGCATCTGATTTCACTTTATCATATGTATTCTTGCTCTTATGAAATGCATCTCGTTTGCTTCGACATTCTTTGTTGAACCAAGGTTTGTTTTCATGTTCAGGGTTGTGTATTTTCATTTTTGATTTACCAAACACAGTCTCAGCCGTGTCTAAAAGTACACGACCTAGGTCATTTGCTAGATCGTTCACACTTTCACTGGTGACCGTGTCAACTAGTTTACACGCTGCTGAACATACATGAAACGACAACACGTGTAAGCTTGTTTATGTTTTAATAAACAATTAGACTCGCTTTATTGTTCAATCTAAATATTTATTTATGATATGGCACATTAATTCTTATTCTTTTATTCTTATTGTATCAATAATTAAATATTAAAATTAAAGTTACAAATAGTACCCTGTGTGACGTAATACAATTATGGTTAATGAGGTAACTTAAGCCTGGAGAGATTAACATTTAATTCTAATTAAATTTTATTGAATTTTATTTTTTCACTAAAAGGTTTAATTCAGGCTAACGCAAATTTAGTATTCGATTTAAAGAAAATTTTCTTTGAAGCTAAGAAAGTCGTTGTGCATGTTGTATTTAATTCCAACAAATATAGTGTAAAAAGATGAAAGTGATTTGAAGATATATATACTAGTAGTACGGAAAATATTAAGCGAGACGTAACCATTTTCTAACGTTTTATACGTCCGATATATCTGATAAAAATATAAAGTGATAACGGACGAACAATGGAGGGAGAGGTAGGTGTTCTTAACAAATAACATGACTAGTGGTCTGGGTTGAAATGCATAAAATCACTTAAGTTAAGATATCCAATCATCGTAGGACATGTAGAAAAATCCGTCCGTTCGGAACAATTCTTTTTAATAACTTAAGTAGTTCTATGCATATCAGCCCCTGGGTCTAACTCTTTATACATTAATTTTAACTTTTCTATATCGTTGCCTTTTATTCTCTAGATATTCTTTATTTAGTTTGCCTTTTTACTCTCTGTTTTCTTTGTTTAGCCTATTTTTCTCTTTTCTTCATTTGTTACTTTATTCTTTATTTCCCCCTTTATTTTACTATTTTTATCCATTATTCTCTATTCTGTAAACCCCACCTACACCCTCATGTCTGTATCAAATCAGGTACCTTGTCAGTTTTTGTCTTATGTAATATTTGAATAATAAATATTCCGTGATTGTTTTTTTTACTTATTTTCACTAACTTAATGTGTTTTTGCTCTTTTCCATACGATATATTACAATAATAACAGTCAGTAGTTTTTCATTTTGCACCTCGATTGTGGAAATTATTAATAAAAGGTCAACACTTATAAACTACTGTTAACTATTGTTATATCGTATGGAAAAGAGTAAGAACACCTTAAATAAGTTAAAAAAAAAATTAAAACAGAGAAAAAGAATTTAGAAAAAGGTGGATCCATTACCCAGGCGCCCGTGTTCCCTTTCAAATGAGGACTTTGAAATATGAAAAAAACAATATAAACTTTTAAAGTCAATTATTCTAGTTTTATTCGATTTCGAGGTATTTGATGGTTATTCTGTTTGGGTAAGGTGACACATTAACAGTTGAATAACACTTTCGCCATAAACAATTATAAAAACTAACCTGTTATTGCCATCATAAGTCACTCAGTGAATTGAGAATTGAGAATTTTATACGTTTTCCAAAACATCATATGAGGTCATTACCAATTTTCCTTCAGAGGGCTCTGGGAAGGGATCTAAAATATAGCTATGTGCTCAACATGATAAATTAGCTTCACTGAAAAATTTAGAAATAATTAAGAAAGTTCAACTACATTTTAGCTTTTCCAAGCAAAGTAGACCTTTAGATGGATTTAGCTATTATTTTAAGGTCCTTTTTGGTCATGTCGCTCCTTAAGTAAACGAGAATGTGATCTAAGAATCCTTGGCTTTAAAAATTCGAGTTTCCTGATAAAGGTTAACCCAGAAAAGCGCTTCGGACGCATTAAATTTACAACGTTATATTTTCATTTTCTAACACTTGGTCGGTAGTTCTGCTGGTAGACTGATAGTCCTCAAGCTCATTTTATAACTGCTTACTTTTCGACCTCCTAGGCCTCCCTTTTGTTAGCTATTTTAGTATCACTCAATCATAAGTTGTCTACATTTAAAAAATTGTTGCCGCCTGGGTATCGTATATACTGTAGTAGATTTTTCTTGTCACTGTTGCACAATTTGGGGACTTCTCATTTTTTACCTGGGTGGGGGGGGGGGGGGTCATTTTGAAATCAAACATATATAATTTTCTTGATGCCCCTTAAAAACATTTAAAAATGTGATTCCCCCCTCTATTATTAAAACATTCCAAAATTTTAACATGGAAAACACTTACCTTTGACACAAATGATATGTAGGATATACTTGAAGATTCAAAAGTTCACAAATGTTTCATTAGAGATAAAATTGATACCCCCACTTTGAATTCATAAAAAAAATTGAACCTCCCTTTTCCACTAACAGAAACAAAAATTAATCACCCCTACATTTGACCAGCCCCCTCCCAGCTAGGTAAAAATGATAAGTCCCTTGGGAGTGAGTCGACATAACAATCGTTATTATTTATACGTTATTTTATTATATTGATTTCCGTCAATTATTGGAACGGTATTTAAACCGTCATGGGTTGGCACCCTCAATTTTTCCTTACATTTATTTCATAATTTCAGATATGCACCCCAGAACCAGCGAATGGATGGCAAAACTTGAAGAAAGCGATAAAAAGCAAAATATTGGACGATGAATATGAAAAAAGGCTTTATTGTGAAATGCGAAAAAAAAGACGGACATTTAAAAAGTCCATTGATGATCTGTCCAATGAAATCTCTCGTTGCTTGATCAAAAGACCATCTCTTATTCTGAATGATGAGATATTAGATTTCAACAGGAACATCTACCAGTCTATACAATTAAACACAACTTCATCTGACGAATTTGAGCTATCAGACTTTGAAGGTAAGATCGGACTGAACGCATGAGGGTCTGAACGGGGTCCTGAATTTATATATTCTTTAAATTTTATTTTTTTTATTTTTTTTTATTTTCCTCATTTTTCTCTATTCTCTTTACTTTAGCACCCCATTATTCTCTTTTCTATATATTTTAGCACCCTTTTATTCTCAATTATTTTTGTTTGCCCGTTATTCTATATTGCTCACTATTCTTTATTCTGTAAACCTAGTCCAGTACCCCATGCAGAGTAAAGAATTACATAGATATAAGAAGAATGTGGTATGAGTGCCAATGAGACAACTCTCCATCCAAGTCAAAATTTATAAAAGTAAACCATTATAGGTCACAGTACGGTCTTCAACACGGAGCCTTGGCTCACACCGAACAGCAAGCTATAAAGGGCCCCAAAAATTACAAGTGTAAAACCATTCAAACGGGAAAAACAACGGTCTAATCTATATAAAAAACGAGAAACTAGAAACACTTATGAACCACATCAACAAACGACAACTACTGAACATCAGATTCCTAACTTAGGACAGGTGCAAACAATTGCAGCGGGTTTAAACGTTTTAATGGTACCAAACCTTCACCATTATCTGAAACAATAGAACAAAACATAGAAAGACACACTATAAAATTACATGTATACATTTATTTTAGATATAAAAATGAATAAGCTTAGGATATGTGGTATAATTGCCAATGAGACAACTATCAACCTGATACCAAATGATGTAGATGTACGCAACTACAGGTTACCGTAAGGCCTTCAACAATGAACAATACAAGTACTGTAAATGTAACATATAAAAGGCTTCGATATGACAAAATGTAAAACTATTTAAACGACAAAACCAACGGCATGATATTTTTAGGCGCACAGAAAGTCGTTGAAGCACTAGGGACCAAGAAAAATAGTAGAAGTTATATTTTAACCGGTTTTTTTGTAGTTGTATTACTTGGAAATGTAAAAATGCATTCGATACGTATATTTTTTGGTTTTTCCTTAACGTATTTGCTTTGAGCAATGGCAAATGATCCACTACGTATTATGTTTATGGGTTGAACAATCTATTTTTAGATGACGAAGACACCAACGAAAGCGTATACACATGTCAAGAACAATATCTTCGATCGTGCGAGAAATATCACGTGGTTCCGGTATCAAGATTTTATAGACAGTTAGAAGGAAATTCTGTGATTCTTAAAAACCACCAATTCAACAAGGGTGAATTTAAAGCTTGTGCAGTTGCTTTGATGGTGAGCTTTTCAGTCTTTAAATAAATATTAGCCGACTTTGCTTTGAAACAAATACGAGACATCATGACATGAATTGGTCTGGTATGGTAAAATTTTAAAATAAAAGCAACTTAGTATAGGAATTGCAAGTAAAGTTAAGTTTCAATATATTTTTTCTTCTAAATTTCAGAACTGCTTTAATCATTTCTGTCTGTTTTCAGTCCATTTCGATCGTTTGACCTCAGTTAAAGATTAAAAATATGTGTATTGGATTTGAAATCACTTTGTTGTTCGGTTCTTGTCAAAATTTTCCTGGTCCACGACTTTTCTTGAATCCATCGACTCCAAACTACCTTTCACCTCTAAAACCTCATGTGTGGTAATATATTCATAATTCCCTCTTTTGATTTTATTGAAATACATATATAACATTTTTAAAGTTAAGTTAATATTTTACAGTGTAACGGGACAGTGACCCAACTTGACATTGAAGGCGGCCAAATTGGAGCCGTCGGAATGTCGCATCTGTCTGATCTGATATACCATACTGATTTATTAGTAGAACTAGTGAGTATTTTATGATTTATTAGTACAACTAGTGAGTATTTTATGATTTATTAGTAAAACTGGTGAGTATTTTATGATTTATTAGTAGAACCACTGAGTATTTTATGATTTATTAGTAGAACTAGTGAGTATTTTATGATTTATTAGTAGAACTAGTGAGTATTGTTTGATTTATTAGTAGAACTAGTGAGTATTTTACCTTCAAGCTGAATGTGTACCAGTGTTTCAAAATGAAAGCATTGACACAAGTAGTACCAACCAAAATCTAACAAGGTCATCATATAGGAGGTCTGGTAAATTGGCAACGACAGGACAATGTTTGTCAAGGCATGCCACTGTTGGACAAGAATGTAAGTGAAAACAAGGCGATGTTAGCCTAGGCAGAGCGATGTTGATTCGGACAAGGCGATGCTTGTCAAAACAGCGCGATGTTGGCCTAGCTCCGACGAGGGCAATTTTAGTCAAATCAGATCGATGTTAGCCTAGATATGACAAGAGCAATGTTAGTCAAAACAGGCGACGTTGGCTAGCTTGGGTAAAGTTCATGTTAGTCAAAATAGTACAATGTTGGCCAAGCTAGGTCGAGCGTGATGAGGGTCAAGACAGTGTTACCAGCATATCTAGGGTTAGGGCGATGTAGGTCAAGACAGGGAAATGTTGGCCTAGCTAGGACAGGATGACGTTAGTCAAGACAGGGCGATGGTATACTAGTTAGGGCGATGGTGATGTCAGTCAAGACAGGGCGATGTTGGCCTAGCTAGGGTGAGGGAGATGTACGTCAAATAGGGTGATGGTGAGCCAGATCAGTTATTTTAGTATAAACATGGCAATGTTGGACTAGCTAGGGCGATGTTATGTAACTCAAGACAGGGCGATGTTAGTCAAGACAGGGCGATAATAGTCAAGACAAAGCGATGTTGGCCTAGCTATGGCGCGGGGGATTTAATCAAATTCGGACGATGTTTGCCTAGCTAGGACAAATGCAAAAATAGTCAAGACAGGGCGATGTTGGCCTAGCTAGGATAAGGGCGATGAAAGGGTAGACAGGGCAATGTAAGTCAAGACATGGCGATGTTAGCCTGGCTACAAAAAGGGCGATGTTAGTCAAGACTGGGCGATGCCGGCTTAGACAGATCAATTATGTTAGCCTAGTTACGACGAGGGCGATGTAAGTAAAGATAGGGCGATGTTAGTCAAGACAGGGCGATGTTAGTTAAGACTAGGTGATGATGGGCAAGTCAGGACGATGCTGGTCAAGACGGGGTAATGTCTGTCTGACTTTCTTCGAGTATATTATGACTGCTCCTTTGCTATCTTCTGCACATTATTTTGTTTCCACCAGAGGTTGGCGGTTTAGTCACGACTAAGTTTATTTTGGCTCCAAACTTCACAGCAACAGATCAATAAAAGAAACTGATGATAAAAAAACTGACCTGTTATATATCAGCACGACAGGTGCCTCTATTGGCCTCTATTGGAACAGAAACTGCTTATCCTCTTGCGAAGACCATCCGATTTCTCTGCCGTTTTATTTTGCGAAAATATTTTGTTTTCTGTGTGATATATGTTAGCCTGTTGTTTGTCTGTAAGTTCTTCTTTTCGATAATATTTTCTTTCTTTTTCGACTAATAAATGTTGAGTGCCCCTCTCTCTCCCACCTTTTTGATTTCTGATTGGCCCTCTCCCTCCCACCTTTTTGGTTTTTGATTGCCCCTCTCCCTCTCACCTTTTGGGGTTTTTAATCCTTCTTTGTATACTCTAATTAAAGTAAAATTAAACGTCAGATGAATCTAAAAGTAAATTAAGCAACTGTTTAAGCAGGATTTTGCTTATCATTCCAGAGCACCTGCTTTTCACTACGGCTTCAATACGTTCGTACTTCTACATTGTTAGTTTTTTTTCTTTGTAGGGTTTATGAACTATCGTTGTCATTTATTCTTTTCTTCTTTTTTCTTTTTGGTATTGAATGTTCTTCTTCAATTTATAATTCTAATTGTCCCTCGGTATCATCTTATCTTTGAAAATTATCTCAATACGTCACGTTTAAAAATACCCCTGAAAATCACCACAGGATGACGGATCAGCTTCAGAGGAATTGAACAAGTTTCTATTGTCTGATAGTTTATTTACATATACGTATAAGGTTAGGGGATAGAGAGGGGCTTGGATTGTGTGTACAAAATAGAGAATTATGGGCCAAAAACATAAAGAAGAGATGAAAATAGGCAACCAAATAAAGAATAGGAAACAATGGGAGGCTAAAATATAAAGAATAGAGAATACTAGGCAGAACTGTAAAGAAAGGAGAAAAATGGCTCCAAATATTAAAGAATCCAGAGATGAATACCCCATCCCACATCCAAAGCCTCCTTTATTCAGTCCATAGTACAATGAGATATTTACAATTAAATTTTATTAAATTAAACCGTTGTCGTGACGTCAGCCTATTCATTTAACGTGGATTCTTTTTCTAGAAACAACGTTTCCTAAATCTGTCGCTCACCAAATTATATTCGATTGTGGGCTCATGGTTTCTTTTATTAGAATCAACGCTTATTCATTGTATCTATAATACTTAAACTGTAAGACATGTAGTAGTTCTGTTTATGTTAAGAACACGAGTTCACCCCAGTTTTCGATGGGGATCGTGTTGCTCAATCTTAAGTTTTTTGTGTTTTGTAGGCTTTTGTTTGTCTGTTCGTAGGTTTTTTTTACCACGATGTTAATTGTTATTTTTTCAACTTATGGTTTTTGATTTCCCCATTGATATCTTCTCCCCCTTTTTCTATTAAAATTTTCTATTGTATGAAAGATCTCACACCTCATAGTCCTTTTACTTACTTACAGAGATGAAAATTATTATACCCAGAACTTATTGTTTATTTTCAGAACCTTACAAAGAATGACATCGGTAGAAAAGGATTGATATTGCTCGAAGAAGCCATGGATAAAAATCTAAAGCTAAAAGAACTTAATTTATCAGGTACAAAATTCAAGTCGAATATTAGATACAGGAACAGTTATTATAAAATTGAACACATTTTGTCTAGAGGTTATTGTTGTGTAAACCGAGCCGATTAACTAGCAAACGAAATTAAAGTACGAATAAGTTGTATGTAAAGTTTGTTAGTCAGCGGTCAAAACATCTAGAAAAAATGAATTTAATCCTTACTATTCTCAACCTAAACCGTTTTGTTACTTTTTTCTTTCAATTTCAACTACATCTCACTACATGATTCCATTCATTTGTAGCGCATGGATTTATCACATTGAAATCGACAGGTTACGAAAGTGGTTTCAGCAATATAGTCTTCCTAAGTGTTAACCAAGGGAAAAATGCATGTAAATCATATAATAATGATATATATAATTAATCCAAAGTTGCCTAAAAAGTGTAAGTCCAACAAAATATAATTATTTTATGCGACATATATTTGAAAGTTTTTTTTTTAAATTCTTTTATTTTTTTTTTTTTTTTTATTTTACAGATAACAATATTAATGGCGATGATTGTGATATAATTAGACAGATAATGGAGGTAACAATTAATTAGAAATTGACACGAGTTTACAACATTCGGTACACCTCGGCAGATCAAACAGGGTAGCGGAATCTGCCGAGGTTTGCCGATTGGCGTTTACAGCTCATAAACACTCATGTAATAAAAAAGAAATCGGAAAAGGGAGGATGACTTGTACATTAAATTTGTATATTTGTCCATTCTTGTCAGGGGAATATAAATACAATTTGTAGACTTAACAATACTCTTTAAACTATAATTTTAGGTGACCGAAACTCTCGCCCTTCATTACAATTGACCCGATTTGCAGAGTCTCCCTTTTGGATTTATGGTTAGTTTTTTATCGTCCTGTTTATGCATGAAATATTTGCCCCTGGACGTTAAGCAAACGTCATTCAATATAAACTGATCATTAAACTGATCATTTAAACTTGAGTAGCTAAATGAATACATTAGTTTACTAGTTGCTGGCATCCATATGGCATTTAGATTATGACGAATATCATAGTTGGAAATCATACCACATATTATTATATGAATAGATACAATTAGAATATAGCGATATCAACGATCTGTTCAACCATACTGAGTGCATGGACACAAGTCTAAGTGAAGGGTCATGACAGAAGTCTCTATTTTAACCTAAACTATTTTGCAAATATCCTACACAGTTGTTTTGTGAGGGTCTAGGTGGGGTTTATAGAATAGAGAATAATGGCAAAAAAAATGAACAGAGAAAAAGGAGCAAAAGATGTAAAGAAGAGAGAATAATTGGGTGCAAAAGATTAAGAAAAACTGTGGAAAACAAAAGAATTAGTAAATAAAATACTGATTATGTTATTCATGGTAAGCACACATTTGGTGATAAGTCTAAATTAAAGGAAAGAGGACGGGATTGTGGTTACGACAAATCCCATGTCATCTATGACACAGATATACCCCAACGGTCAACCAACTCGTACTGGCGCCGGTAAAACCTTCGAAAGGATAACTTCAATTCTTTATACCACTCGGAACCTTGGTTCAATAGTTTCCTTGTAAGTAGAAACCCTCCTTTTCAGGGAAATCAGAAAACACAAGCTCTGGAATATCTAGTTGAAAGCCAATAACAAGTCATAAATAAAAAAAATCATGTTTACGCTAACTAAAGTATCAATTAGTACACATCCAACGGATTTAGTGTAAAATTGAGTTGCATTCCCTAACTAGAAACACATCCCTTTCTTTAAACACGTGACAGGTACAAAACAACCATTTGGATACCACCCTGCACAATATCTTGATAACATTACCTGTCACGTGGTTTCATGCCATGTCTCGTAGCGTGTGATTCTTGTTATCCTGTTTATACATTATGTGATTTTGACATTATTTTGCTTGATAATTTTGGTGCTTCAATGTTGGCAGGATTCTTGTCATTTCCTCTCTATTTCATGTAAATAATTTTCATGAAAATTTAAAAAAAATATCTGCCATACAGTCAACGAAATATATCTATTTTTTTTATGTTCAGGGCGACAATATGTTACAGTCATTGAATCTAAGTCACAACATAATTTGCAACATAGGCGGACAACATATTGCAAGAGGACTAGGTAAGACCATCTTTGCTATCCATGGTTACGATCCGGCCACGCCTCTTCGCGTGAAGAGGAGGTACCGGATCGTAACCCCTGACTACCAAAGATATGGATAATACTGCTGTTAGAATATTCAAAATATCAAGTTATAAATGTAAATAAGTCTTCAATATCACATTTAAAAATGGCTAATTGTATGCACTTGATCGAAAAAAATTAATTCTTATCAATTTTTCATTCCTTGATTTGAAAAATGGTACTTAAAGACACCCAAAACCGATCCTAAGTGATTTTAATCTAAAACAGACATTAAGAACACGTATTGGATGTTTCCTCAAAATAAACTTTTTATCTAGCTTAACGGTGATTTATTTTGGGATGGGGGTTGGGGGCAGTTCACTTTTACTTCTTGCTTAATATGAAATTATTTGAGTACACATGGCATACTTTTGTTAACTTTTGTTAATAGACTTCATTTGAACATAGTGTAATACACTTAGATATACAATGTATAAAATAAAATAGTCTACTAGTGTATCTTTTTCTCTGAACAGTGAAAAACGACGGGTTAAAATCTCTGAATCTAAGCTGGAACAGAATAACAGGAAATGGAGCAGCTGCAATTGGCTATGCTTTGGCTAAAAACAGTGACCTCGAAGTTCTGAATGTATCCTGGAATGGTTTTGAACATGGCGGTGCACACGCTTTAGCTCATGGCTTAAGTCAAAATACGTGTTTGAAGGAATTGGACGTTTGTTCAAATAGAATTGGCCAATCAGGAGTAGCAAAATTGATGAAAGGTGTAAATGAAAACACGACCCTCGAAGCTCTAACGGTAAGTTTAAGGCAAACTTTGCTTGTGACGTTTTTCACTGATTCCCGAGAGTCCGGATGAATTAATTTTTTTTTCATGCTATTTTTATCTATTCGTTATATTCTTTTCTTCATATTTTAGCGTCCAATTATTACCAATCCTTAATTTTTCTCTATTCTTTATTTTTTGCTTACCCTTTATTCTTTTTTTTTCTCACTCATTATTCTTTTTTCTGTAAAACCAATATTTTACTAAATGTATACAGAAGAAATAACTGCATGCATTCTACGGTGGCGTAATTCCACGCTCCTTACAACTAGACATTAAACCCCCGCAAACAAAGTTTTAGGGATATATAGGAATGACCATGTCCGCCTGTCTGTCCATTTACGTTCTTTTTTGCAACTCCTCTTGAACAACGAAACGAGTATTAATGAAACTTAAAGGGAAATCACACTATTTATACTACTAATAATAATTCATTGAAATTTTGCATGTAGACATATCATACGTATTACGATATTTTAGGCGAAAAAAAAATTGGGGTCACCGATGTTGTTTTCGAGATATGACGTCATCAAAACTTACAGAATCGCGTTATAACGAAATATAGAAATAGCGCTCTAAATTTCTAAAAAAAGACAAACTTATTGAAAAACGTTGTTTAACCGGAATAACAAAAACAGTCAAATGTAACTTGTACCTTATGAGCATTTATTTGTCTCGGTTTCCTTATTTTTGAAGGCCTTTGAACAGTTCCCGCCTTTTTTAATTGCTATTTATAATAGATTTTTCTTGCAATAAAAAAAATCTACTAATGTTTTTCCCTTCAAACTTCTGCATAAGTTGCAGCTTCAGGGAAGATTTTAAAAGCATAAATAAAAAAGGGGGGTCACCGATGTTTTAAGTCCGCTAAAACGGATATCTTATTATTGAATTTTGGCGGGAACTATAATAACCTTTTCAGTTTTACGTTATAGAACGACGTTGCTGGCATAACAGCATTTCTTGCAACGCTTGGGTTGAATTAAACCTTTTCATTACAAAATATAATATCATTTTTTAACATTTTTTAAGGTATTTTGATTATTCATTGATATTTTTATCAATCTATCGAATCGTTAAACATAGATACAATAACAGTTTATTATAAAGTAATTGTCAAAGTTGAAGTCATCTCATTTTTTTAATTGCATTTGTTGTATGGGGAAAACGAATGTTTGCCTCATGCCGTATTATAGAAATAATTTTCGGCTTCCAGATAAAGAATCTTCTACCTCGGAAGACTGAGGGTATCCGTGCTGAAAAGAACACTTTCCTTTTAGACTGCAGGCAGAATAATTTCGTTACCATAATTTCACTAGCTTGTCCATACGCACCGGGAAGATAAAATCTGAAATGCCGTGTTAAAAATGCCACAAATTCAGCACGTTAAAAGAAACCTATTTTCGGTAGGAATTTAAAATTGGCTAACATTTCCGTAATAACACAACGCTTCATAATTTCTTCGAACTGTGGAAACCAAATTTTTTTCTGGGTTCTATCATCCCGCATCCATTTTTCATACATCGTTTCATGTTCATTGTACCAGAGACATTGTATTATATGTCTCTGATTGTACATAATATGTTCAATGTTCATTGCCTGTGTATTAAAACTTTATGTATTACGTATATTTTATTACCGTTCGATTAATCGCTCAACTTTGGTATGTTATGAGAAATACAATGCATCTGATAATTTAGAGTTAATTGACAATAAAATACACATCGCCATATTGATATCGGGAACATATAATGTTCCCAGTTGATATGTAATAAAAAAATTCGTAACGGTTCCGCGGAACCTAGTGTCTAGCCTACTTTTGCTATTGTCTATGTTTTCAGTGTGATAGGGGAATGCACATAATTGATACAGTTAATGAAATGGTTTATGAATATAATAAATGTTTTAAAAACTTCAACTGCAGACTCTATGTAATGTTAACTGGAAGAAAAACTAAGTCCATTTATAAGTAATATACGGAAAAACAGGAAATAAATTTTTACAAAATTTCCTTCTAAATACTAGCTTTTGATCATAAACAAGCTTCTGTCCAAGTTTGGTACAAATCCAGGATAGTTTAAGAAAGTTATTAAAAATTTTAAAACTTTAACCACAGAGTGAATATTTGTGGACGCCGCCGCCGCCAACGACGACGACGCCGACGACGGAATGTAGGATCGCTATGTCTCGCTTTTGCGACAAAAGTCGCAGGCTCGACAAAAATCTTTTAATTTGTAATAAACGGATCTAGTTTTTTTCTTGTTCTGCTATACATCTATCCGTGTTTCTGTGGACATGTTGATATATTTTATCTAACTCTAGTTTTTTGTCGAGCCTTCGATTTTAGTCGAAAAAGCGAGACATAGCGATCCTACATTCCGTCGTCGGCGTCGTCGTCGTCGTCGTCGCCGGCGGCGGCGGCGTCCACAAATATTCACTCTGTGGTTAAAGTTTTTGAAGTTTTAATAACTTTCTTAAACTATCCTGGATTTCTACCAAACTTGGACAGAAGCTTGTTTATGATCATAAGATAGTATCTAGAAGTAAATTTTGTAAAAATAAAATTCCTGTTTTTCCATATTTGACTTATAAATGGACTTAGTTTTTCTGCCAGGAAACAATACAGTCACTCTGTGGTTAGAGTTTTTAAATTTTTAATAACTTTTTTAAACTATCCTGGATTCGTACCAAACTTGGTCAGAAGCTTGTTTATGATCAAAAGATAGTATCCAGAAGTAAATTTTGTAAAAACAAAATCTATTTTTTCCGTATTTTACTTATAAATTGACTTAGTTTTTCTGCCAGGAAACATTACATTCACTCTGTGGTTAAAGTTTTTAAGATTTTAATAACTTTCTTAAACTATCCTGGATATTTATCAAACTTGGACAGAAGCTTGTTTATGATCAAAAGCTTGTATCTCGAAGGAAATTTTGTCAAAATTTTGTACCTGTTTATCCGTATTTTACTTATAAATGGACTTAGTTTTTCTTCCATGTAACATTACATACAGTATGCAGTTAAAGTTTTTAAACATTTATTAGAGCCATAAACTTTCCTAGATTTATACCAAACTTGGACAGAAGCTTCTTACAATCAAAAGATAGTATCGAGAGGAATATTTTTATTGATTTTTTTCCTCATTTTTGTTGAGCCTGCGATTAACAGCAAAAGTAGGCGAGACACTGGGTTCCGTGGAACCTTTACGAATTTTTTTATCAGATGACAAATGAGAGTGTGGATAACCTTTGAGGTAGAATAAGAGTTCGAGTTCCAGCTAAATTTTGAGTTAAAGTTCCAGTTTTATTTTTAGTTCGAATGTTAATTCGAGTAAGAGTTCTAGTTAAAGCTCGAGTTCCACTTAGAGAGTTATACTGTAAGATAGAATAAATTCTGGTAAGAGTAAAAATTTTGAGATCCGATGAAATTAAAAGAAGATTGCAGTTTCTATACATTTTCTGTTGGTGCACCTCTCTTTCTTGAATTGTATATTCTTTTATCACATTTATGTTTAGTATGGTATAGCCTATACACTGATTAATGATAGGTAATTAGAAAATAACTGATTGATTGTGTGTGCCACTTTCAGCACTCTGCTATATCATGTTGGTCATTTTTTTTTAAAGAACCAAGGTATCAAGAGTAAATCAGATACCTTTGTATTAAACAAATGGTTGTCCTTTACAGTCATGATCGGAATCTGACTATCTCCCTATATCACTGTTTGTTGACATGCAAGTGATCACATTGAGTGATCTGATCACGAACCTACATCTAAACTACTATTTTTTGTTTTGTTTTTGTTTTTTTCTTGATTTTTGCAAAACTTTCAGTGGCAAATATTACATGAATATCAGAACAATTTTTTTTTCTATATGAGATGAATACTCTTTCACAAGACGGACCTTAATGTGATGGTTACAGTTTAGCACTCTGAAATACATGTTTCTCTACATAAATACATGTGTGTGTGTTAAATATTTCTCTTGTAGGAGACTTGTAAAGCCAAATATACAGTGTGGATTTTTTGTTGTTGTAGGCAGTACGGTCATCAATAGGACAAAAATAACTAGGCATAGTGTTTGATATTCCCAGATTGCTCTGACGTCTAGCGGCCTTATTTTTTAATTTGCTGGTCGTACAGTTCGCTATAATTGACAGTTTGAAGAAATACTACAAAATATGATGTTTTTTGTGCCCAAATTATGTAAGCCTGTACAAAGAATTAAATGAAGATTGAGTATAATGTACTATATAATACGGTGCTAAATTTACTTTGATTTCGACAGCCAGCAACCGATGTAAAATTGTGTATGCTTCTTTTACAGTGATGTTTAACTGCACGGCGTTATTCTTAAATAACTTTTGATATTTCAACAAATATGATTACTCTACGAATCACTCGTGTTCATGTGTTTGTGCCCCCCCCCCCTTTCCCACATACCGCATCGCGACGATACGATGCCAACAGTTGGGTTACACTAATGACAGGACAATTGCCCGTATTGACCGGTTGATATATAAATAGTCAGAACTTTTTTGTTATTTGATAGATTATTTTAATATTTGAAGACCTTAGAAATACTAGACTATATTTTATGAAAATCTAATAAAAAAAAGTTGACCGGACGGATTTCACACTCACTGGTGTACGCTTTACATATATTGAACTGATCGACAAAAAGTGTTACTAGTAATATCTCTTTTGTTTTACAATATTTTTTCATACAACTAAGAAATCTGCGAGATTAATAGTTATCTTATATGAAAATTTAAACTTTATAGTAAAACAAAATGTTTTTCTAAAAAAACAAAGTTGACCGGACGGATTTCACATTTGCCGATGTACGCTTTGATTATACTGAAATGATCGACAAAAAGAGGTTTACATATCTCTTTTGTTTTTAAATTATTTTTTTTCTTCGTGAAACTAAGAAATCTGCGAGATCAATAAATATGTTAATATATGAAAATAT